GACAGATTCCTACTAAATTCTTCAAACATTAAAAGATAATAAGGATTTATTATTAACAATTTCACATCAATAAATTTGATGACAAATGCAATGGCAAATCTATTGAACAAGTGGGAGTATTCCTCAGATATAATCCATAATAAATATAAATATGAATGGAAGGGCTGGCCCCGTGGCCTAGTGGTTAAGTTCGGAGCGCTCTGCTGTGGCAGCCCAGGTTCAGTTCCTGGGTGCAGACCTACACCACTCTTCATCAAGCCATGCTGTGGTGGCAACCCACATACAAAACAGAGGAAGATTGGCACCAGATGTTAGCTCAGGGCAAATCTTCCTCAAGCAAAAAGAGGATGATTGGCAACAGATGTTAGCTCAGGGTGACTCTTCCTCAGCAAGGAAAAAAAAAAAGAATGGGAAAGCTATATGCCCACAAGGACAAACAGAAGAGTAGAAAGCACATTGATGGAAATGGAGGGAGGACTGATCACTAGTTGGACAGGCTGAAGGAAATGAGAGTTGGACTCACTCAAGGAGGGTCCAAGGCCAGGAGTGGGGCTGTGAGTGGAGCCCAGGCCAGGAAAGTTGACACACTTGATCTGGAATGGACAGCTGGGCTCCCCCAGCCACGGGCAGGAGGGCCTGCAGGTGGACAGCAGGAGTAAACTGGATCAGGAAGAGCCAGCTCCCAGGAGGGCGTGGAGCAGACCGATGCAGCTGCTGGGGCACGGGACGCCAGCTGGTCCCTAGAGCACCGAGGACGTGTGACAACTGTGGGCCAGCCCCTCTCTTTCCGCCTTCCCTCATGAACTCCAAACCAGAGGAGGTCTTGACCTGCCGTTCTGCCACTGAGAATGTGGCCAAAAGCAGAATTATACGAACATCAGTGAATTTCCGCAAAAAAGAATTCTGAGGAGGGAACTTCATTACGCGTGATAATTAAATCAGTTTTCATTGAACAGCTGATTCATCCGTTCAGCTGTTGTTTTTAAATGTGCTATTATGTGTTTTCTCTTGAGGCCATTATTTCTACCCAGTCCAACTTTCCCTTGTCCAATATCCTTGCAGATATAAATTTTGTCAAGGAGATTTTATTTTCTTATTAATTGGTAGTCAACAATAAATTTTGTTGCATGCAGTTGTAACCTTCAGCTTTGTTTTGAGCGCATTATCGACTTGGGGTGTTTATTATGCACTAGATAAAAAGTGGACCGTGGACCCATGGGAAAATCGTGGGCAGTTTTGGGAGCCTCCTCCAGAAGACCCAGAGTCAGGGAGGAGTGTGCGCGTAGCAGGTCAAACCCCCCAGGATGAAACAGTGTGGCCGGAGCCTCCTGCTCATCCATAGCCAGCGTCCTTGTAACCCGAAGGCCAGTCTCACATGGTCCCTGCCTCCTAGACTGCAGACTGTCACAGGCCATGTGCGTGGGCCCCGCCCCTCCTTGCCCTTCAGTGTTGACGTCTGAGGAGTGATCACAGCCGTGTCCCCATCTGTGTCACAGGGGTAGCCCACTGCCCACCCTCTCTCGTGCATGGCCTCCCCAGCTGCTGGGGTGGACCTTGTGTGCTCCTCCGGCTCCTAGGTCTCAGGTGTCTCTCCTGCTCCCCACATGGACTGTGGACTCAGGTACCCCAGGTCACTCTAGCACCTGCTGGGTCCCTCCCAGGAGGGCACATTTGGGTGGTAGATGTGGTTGTCTCAGATCGTGCGTTCAGACTCAGAGACAAGGGTCCCCGGGAGGCATGCCTCAGGCTGGGCGCCCCTCATGGCTGTCTTGCAGGGGTTCTCTGAGCCGGCCAGTGGAGGTGGGTGCAGGCATCGCCATTGGGGCCTGTGCTGGGCTCTGGACTCTGGACATCCTTCTGTTTATCATCCTTTTCCTCACAAAGAGAGGTAGGTGAGCACCCGGGGAGGGGCATGCAGGCCGACCCGGACCAGACCCCAAGCCCCAGCTGCTCTGGCCTGACCCCTCAGGGAGAACCAGGGAGCCAAGCTCACAGGCCCCGGGCTCCAGCCAGGCCCCTTGAAGCTCATCGAGCTGCCCTGAAGCTGTGACTCCACGGACCCTAGCAGGCCAGAGACCTGGGTCATCGTGGCAGCATCGCCACGGAGCCCTCACTGTGTTCCATACATGTACCCTGGGGCTCCCCTGGACCCAGCCTGTCTTTGCTCCTAGGAAGTGGGTGGCGGTGCAGCCGTGGCCCTCACTGCACTGTGTGTCCAGGGAGGAGAGAGCACTTCCTCCAGGGGCAGCTGTGGCTGTGGGAGCTGACGCAATCATGGCCTGGATCTGGGCCTTCCACCTGGGGCTCACCGTGAGCATGGTGTGGGTCTGGCAACGGTTCCGAGGTGCCTGGCTGTGGAGGGGAGGCCACTTGAGGAAGGGTCCTTGCCTGAATGCCCGGCCGAGAGCCAGCTCAGGTGGCGGAGGGGGCCTGCAGCTGCACATGAGCTGGAATATGGGGAGGGGCCGGCCTTGGGTCCCGCCGAGGGCCCAGAAAACAGCCAGGCCTGGGGTTTCCAGGGCTTGACCGCAGCCAGGCGACACACTGGACAGACAGGCTCTCCTGGGCCTCAGTCACGTTCCTGCCTGTCATCCCCTTTGTGGTGGTGATTGCCATCAGCGCTGTGCTTCTGATCAAGGGACAAGGTCCTGGGGTGGGGCTGGGGCATCCCTCCCACCAGGTCCTCCAGGGTCCCTTCATCTGACCACTGCTCAGCTTCTGGCCACTCCTGTGGGTGTCAAGCTCCTGCCCAGGGCTGAGCTCCAAGGACAGGGTCTCTGGCATCACCTGAGCCCACCCCCAACTCCTCAGGTCCAGTTGGCCTTGGCAGGTGGGAGGGTCGTGGGTACTGGCCACATGCTGGCCTCAGGCTGCCATGGAGTGGGATTCAGTGAAGGTGGCTGGCTCTGCCCCTTGCCCAGGGCACAGGATGGGGAGAGGCCTCCGCAAGAGGCAGTGTACACAGTGGGAAGAGCTCACCAAGGTCCAAGTCACAGCCCCAGTGCTTTCAGGGGCCCTTAACAAGTCACTCCCTGCCTCAGTTTCTCCATCTGTGAAATGGCAGCAGATGCTGCTGGAAGTGCTCACCCCAGGGTTAGGCACACAACTCAAACCCACTGGCTACTCCTGAGGAAGGGAGCTCACGCTAAGTCTCAGGAGCTGAGTAGGGAGAGAGTCCAAGGCAGAAGGCACAGCAAGATAGGGGCAGGGGGGTTGGCCCTGTGGAAATGTGGGGTGGGGGGCCGAGTGGCCCGAGGAGCGGTGTGAGCAGCATCGTGGAACCGGCCCGACAGGACATTCTGACGCAGCCTTCAGGGTCCACCGCAGTCCCCCACCAGAGAGCGCTAGTCAGGGGGGTGGGGGTTGGGGGGCGGCGGGAGGGGGCGGCTAGCCGGGATTCAAGGGTGGGGGAGGGGCAGCCTTGGCGGCAGTTGAGCCCATTTCCTCCGCCCTTCTTTCCAGTAACGTTCCAGTTCAGTGTTCCCGCCAAGGGGTGAGTGACCCCCGGCCCCCACCCTGCCCCCAGACCCTCCTCAGTTGGACTCAGGGGGAAACTTAGTCTTGACCCCTGGAGGGACAAAAGACCGCCACCCCATTCACGGAGGGAGGGAGGAAGGACCCCAAGGGTGGGGAGAAATGTCACAGGTAGCGCCTGGCTTTGAATCTGGGCCCGCGGAGGTGAGTTCCGTCTCTCGTGGGCGGCGGTGGGACCTGGGGACACCAGACACACCCATTCCCCAACAACAGAGAGAAGGCCCCCGGGGCCAGGAGGTGGGTGTGTGGGGGCATCCCAGCCGCCTCCAGGCCAGGCGGCCTCCTCTGCCCGGGGAGACACCACCCACCGCCCCGAGGCCTGTGGCGCGGGCGCCCGGAGGAGGCAGAGGAGACAAGGCGTCTCCTGCCCTAATCGCGCGGCCCCGACTCGGGTGGTGGCGGAGGCGGCCGCGTCCGGCTGGGCGGCGGGGGTCTGGGGGGCGGGGGCGGGGCCGGGGCCGGGGCGGGGTCGGGGCGGGGCTTCCACGCAGCTCCCCGAACGATTCCACCGGGATTGCAGGACTGGGAATTGCAGAAGTGGGAAGCAGCAAGTCTCGAGGGAGCTGGAGACAGAGGAGAACGAAATGCTCACCAGACCCCTGCTGAAAGGAAGCATTTGTGAGCTTTAAAGCGAGACAACTCCCCGAGAAATCCGGGAGGCTGGGACGACTTACAACTCAAAAACCTCTGCCCCTCGAGTGCCTCCCCTCGCAGCAGAAATTAAAAGGCCAAGGTTGATCCAGACACTCCCACGACAGATGCGTGCGGGGCAGGAGCCCGGGAGGGGCCGAGGCGGCCCGGAGTCGCGGGGGGCACCGGGGGGGGGGCGGGGGGGCGCCCAGGGGCCGAGGCTGCGGAGGACCAGACCGGCCGGGGGAGCAGGCTCCGCCTCTCGCCGTCTCAGTTTCACAGTGTGCCAAATGGGGACAGTGGCCCGAGGCGGGCCGCGAGGGTGGCGAGGTGGACAGAGCAGGCGGCTTCGGTGCGGGCAGAGGCCCTGGTATGTAGATACCGGGCCCCGGAGAGGGACTGGAAGAAAACATCCCGAAGGGGCTCGCTGGAGCCCCCCACTGCAGGGTCTCCTGATTCTTCCCGATTCTACTTGGTCTCTTCCCAATTTTCTGTAAAGTCAGGCACCAATTTCATATTAAAAGCCAATATCGGGCTTGCTGGGTGTGGGGCATAGTGGTTAAGTTTGCAGGCTCAGCGCCAGAGGCCCAAGTTGGTGGGTTCGGATCCCAGGTGCCGACCTACACACCACTCATCAAGCCATGCTGTGGCAGCATCCCACACACAATATAGAGGAAGATGGGTACAGATGTCAGCTCAGGGACAATCTTCCTCACCAAAAAAAAAAAAAAAGCTGATATCATTAAAGGCCAACATTAAGATGCTCTTTTAAGAGTTTATGGATCAACATTTCTTTAAAATTTTAGTGTTAAAATAAACGGAGATTTTGCATCGTCTTGAAGCTTGTCATTTTATTTTTATTTATAAAATACATTTTTTCCAAGGAGAAAACTGCCTCGGTTGTGTTCCTAGTTTTACGAGGCTCTGCCACCCCTTTCACGCAGGTGCAGTGAACTCGAGCAAGTCCAGCGATATGAGTGAATCACCGCGGCTCTGAAATCGGCCTCCTGAGAGTTTTCAACACAAGCCTTCCCACCAGAGTGGTTTCCTAAACCGTGCTCCTCACAAAGTTACAAGCCAACAAACCCTGCATCTGTCCATATTACAGCCAATGTAGACAGACCTGGACCAACGGTGACAGGACCAAAAGAGACGTACATGGACGTTCACGTCAAAGGCGGTCTGGACCCGGCTCTTCCCGAGGCAGCTAAGAGAACCCGAGGCCGGGCCGCTGGCTCCTGGCACCTGAATGTGGTGCTCACGTATCTAGCCAAGAGTGAATTCAATGAGGCGATGATGATGTTGCCACAACCTCAACGGCAAGAAGAGCAAGAGCGAAATTCCGGGTGGATCTCCTTCCGCTCCCGCCGTGCTGGCCAGCTGGGAAGGGAAGCTGGCCAGGTGCAGTCCTGTGGGATGAGATGAACAGGCGCCACACGTGTGAGCTGAAGAAACCCCAGAGAGGAACACACTGGACAACGGGTGACATCCGAAGGGACTCGGTCTTCCCAGTAACTCTAACTCCCACGGAGGCCTCCTGAAGGAGCGAAGGGAACCACGAAGTGCTTCGAGGAGAGCCAGGCTCTCCGGAGCGCTGAAATGCTGTGGGGAAGCTCTGACTCGACGAGATGGAGATTTCACAGGGGTGTGCGTGTGTGGGTGGGGTGGGGAGGGGCTTGCTCAAGGCTGGAGGCCAGGACTGGGCGAAGTCTCTACTCTTGAGGGCCAACGGGGATATGAGGCCATCGGTGGACAGGTGGCAAAGGGCCCAAGTATGGCACGTGGAGACTGAGGGCTACTCGGGCTGCTGCTGGGTCTGTTAGGTTAGGAGGCAAGTCCAGCGTCGTCCGACAGGACGACAGGACGTCTGGCAGCAACAGGCTGTCAGGCACTGACTTCCGGAGCAGGAGTTGGGGGAAATGGAGGAGGGGGAGTGGAGTTGTCGCCCAAGCAACGGGGTGGAAGTGGGGGAGGGCGACTAAGTTCTCTCTCCATGGAGACTGCACCGGCTGAACGCCAACATAACTCAAGGTGGGCGCACGCCGACGGACGGCCAAGGTCCAGAAGGAGTCCACGAGTAAAGGTTGGCGACCATCCCCTGACCCCACGTTGACCCCATACCCCTGATTTTGCCTCCCTCAACCTCAGGACCCTGAGACCCGTCCCACCCCGCTAGAATATTCGGGCTAGGGGAGGGGAAGGTTTGCGCTGGAGGAGCGGGCTTGGGCGGTGCCCTCACACGTACCCGTGCCCCAGACCCCGACGCCGACCCATGGCACCCAAAAGGAGGCGCGGGCCGAGCACAGGGCGCCGGCCAGGCGCGGCGAAAGAGGGCGCCGAGGCGCCACTGTCGGAGCGCGCGCAGTATCTGCAGCGCGAGTACAAGCTGCTCTCGGAGCAGCTGGACGCCTGCGAGCAGCGCGTGGACCAGGTGCTGCGGGAGAACGCCTTCCTGGACCGCGAGGCGCAGCGCCTGCGCGAGGAGAACCGGCTCTACGCCAGCTACGTGAGCGCGCGCGCGCAGCGCTGCGCCAAAGCCATCGTCCGGCTGGACGAGCAGAATCGCGTGGACCTGACGCAGGTCCACTGGGAGCGGGGCGAGCTGGCGTCGCACTACCACGGGCGCGAGGACGGGGTGCGCGCGCAGCTGCTGGAGATGGAGGCGCGCGCGGCGCAGATGGCGCGGCAGGTGCAGGAGCTGCAGCCCTACAAGGCCAGTGCGCGCGCGCCCACGGGCCGGCCGGGCGGGCTCCAGGAACCGGGCGGGGTGGGCGCGCGCCGCGCCCGGGCCCTGACCCGCGCCCCCGCCGCAGGAGCTGCAGCTGGAGCAGCTGGCCCGGATCCGGGCGCTGGAGCGCGAACTGCTGCACATGCGCGTGGAGCACACGCAGCTGCTCCACCGCGTGAAGCGGCGCTTCACCGAGGACAAGGCGGCCTTCGAGCGCGAGGCTCGCCAGCGCGTGCAGTCCCTGGCGCGGCGCGCGGAGCGGGAGGCGGCGCGCGCGCTCCTCGCGCACACGCAGGCCATCAAGGCGGACAACGCGCGCCTGCGACAGGAGCTGCTGCGGCTGCTCCAGCGGGCCCAGCTGCTGCATGACACGCGGCGCCAGCTGCTGGAGCAGCGTGAGAAGCTGCGGCGCGAGCACGAGGACACGCGGGACCTGGCGCGGGTGCATGGCTGGCTGCGCCGGGGCCCCGGGGGCCCGCCGCTGTGGCAACCTTTGCCCGTCGCCTCGCGCCCCGCGTCCTTCGCCTCCCCGACAGGCCCGTCGCGCGCAGCCTCCCGGTCCCCGTCAAACGCAGCCTCCCGGGTCCCGTCGCTGCTCTCGTCGCGCATGGCTTCCGGGGTCCCGTCGTTGATCTCGTCGCGTGTGGGCTCCAGGGTCCCGTCGCTGCCCCTTTCGAAGGCGAGCTCCCGGGTCCCGTCCTTAACTCTGTCCCGCCTGGCTTCCCGGGTCTCTTCGCGGTCCTCGTTGCGTGCGGCCTCACAGAACATCCTCCTCTCTGCGAGGCCTGTGCTTGGAGTGGGCTCTTCCTATCCCCGCGTCGAAGGACACCATGAACACTGACCCTGCAGCAGAAGCCGCCGCGGGAGAGCCTGCACCTGCCGGGAGGGAGGCCCGGGGCCGGGGGAGACGAGCGCGCAGGACGCGTGTTTGGAGAGTGCCGCTGTTAATAAAGGTGCGACACCCCCGCTCGCCGCTCTGGCGCCGCCTGCTTCGCCGCGTCTGCGTTTGCTGCAAGGGAGCTGGGTCGCCCTTCGCCCCGTGCCTGCCTGGCTTCAGCACCCTTCACTCCGCGGCTGCCCGCGGGCCGCTCGGGTGTCCTGCCCGCGGGGGTGACAGTCTGGCGGCAGGGACGGACACCGCGGGCACGGACAGCCGGCGTGACGGCGGGAACGGAGTCCGGCGGGCCGGGCAGGAGCCGGGCAGCTGCGCGCTGTGGCCGGAGGGCCGGCGCCATGCGAGCTGCGGTCACAAGGCCTTCGGGAGGGACGTGGCTTTACTCCCAGCGCCGCGGGGAGCCACGGGAGATTTCGTCTGACCTCTTGGGGTTTTTCGGTAATTTTTAAATTTTAATGTAATATCCAACTTAGAGAAAAATTGGAAGAATACTACAGGGAAGTCCCATGTGCACTGGTCCAGACTCACCAGCAGCTTGCCTTCTGTCCCTTTGGGGCGGGGGATGTCCATGCATTTTTCTCCGTGAACCATTTCAGAGTAGGTTGCAGACATCGTGCCCCTTTGAAGACCTCTAAATCCTTTAGTGTTTCCCGAGCATAATTACCGCAGTACTATGATCCAAATCAGGAGATTTAGCATGGGGAAAAGAGCATTAGCTAATCCATAGCTCATATTAAAACGTCAGTTGTCCCAACAGTGTCCTTTGTGGCCACGCCCTCTGCCAAGGTCACGCATCGTATTTACTTGTCAGTCCCAAAGTGCACAGGCCGGTTATTAGGACGTCCTTCAGTGTGTTTTTTTGTTTTGTTGGGGCTTTTGTGGGGGGGGGGGGAGGGTGAGGAAGATTGGCCCTGAACTGACATTTGTGCCAGTCTTCCTCCATTTTGTATGTGGGACGCCACCACAGCACGGCTTGACCAACGGTGTGTAGGTCCGCGCCCGGGATCCGAACCTCGGAACTGGGCCGCCAAAGCGGAGCACGCGAACTTAACCACTACGCCACCAGGCCGGCCCCCTCAGCGTGGTTTGTATTCATCGAGGGCTGTGCTGGGGAGGAGGTCGAGCGGCTTCGGAGAGGCCAGGCCCCACGCACCCTCGATGCTGGCCGAGGAGCACGGACCTCGCCCCGAGCGCGGAGGGAAGGTTGTAAAAGACGCTTGCTCTCTGGACCCCAGCGCAGAGTTGGAAGTCCGACCAACGAGACGGCCGCCGCTAGAGCGGCCGGCGCACTTCCGGTCGGGGTCACGCGAGTTCCGGCCGGCCGGGGCCGGGTACCGGAAGCGCGGGAGCGGGCGGGGGCCCAGTGGCGCTGCCGGGCGCCGGGTTCTCAAGAGGCCGCGACCCTGGCAGCCCACCTGGGACGCCCTGGAGGGAGGCGTTCAGGCCACAGGTTTAAGACGGAGCTCCTGTGGGCCAGGGCAGCGCGTGAGGCGGGTGACGCACAGACGGCGTGGGTGAAGCCCCGCCCCCCACCCCTCCGTGTGAGTGCTCGGCGCACGCGCGCCCCCTGGCCCGGAGCTCCGGGCGGAAGTCTCGGCGCCCCTGGTTGGCGGCGCTCCTCGGCCCCTGGCAGCAGCAAACGCAAGTCGTTTTGGGCGAGTTCGCTTGAAGCCCAGGTCGGGGAGCGTTCCCACAACCACTTCCCTTTAAAAGGAGCTAGGGCTCCTTGGAGATTTGGGGCAACGGTGCGGAGCAGTCTCGGCCGTCCTGTGGACGGGGTGACAGCGGGGCGACGTGCCGGGGTGTCGGGAGCGGAGCCGGGGCCGCAGGGCGGGGGTGCAGCCGCACGCGGGGCTGCAGACGGGGCGGCGGGTTTGCGAGGGGCTGCGCCGGCGCCTGGCCTCTCGGAGACGCGCGCGCTGCCGAGACGACAGCGCCCCGCCGTCGAGGCGCCTTCGCAGCCGCCCGCGCGGGCCCGGCCCCAAGTCCTGCCGGACCTCCTGCGCGCTCCGCCTTTGCGCACCCTCCCCGCCTGACCCTCCGCGCCCCTGCTGGGTTCTACCTGACTCGGTCTCTAGAATTACGCTTCTCACAGCCCCGGTAAATACCTGCTGCGTGAACTGCAGTGAATTTCTCTGCGGGCAACACCCGAGAGCCAGGTTGCTCCCAGACGGGGCCGGTCAGAAGGACCGGGCAGCAGAAGCGAAGGGCTCCCACTCGCCGCCAAGGCAGCTAGTTCAGCATCAAAAAGAATACTGACTGTACTGAATAGAAACGTCAAATGCATAAAGTGCATGAGTTTAAAATACGACAAAACCCCACCCTACCGGTCATCTTGAAGGTTGCCGGTACGATACTCATTATGCTAAAAACTGGCAAATGAAGAATCACGTGTTCATCCCGCCTTTCCCGTGTGAACTGTATTTCAGGATAAACGAATTGTTGGTGAAGGGAAGTTATGTACGGAATTCCACCTAATAACTGCAGAAGAAATATAGCGACGTCATGGTTGCTGAAGCCTGTAGGTGGCAGACTGATGAGGACAATGCACGGACCGGCTCACTCTCCGCATCCGTGAATGGCCCCAACTTTGCCGAAAGGAAGCCACTCAGGGCCTCCTGGTCTGAAGCAGCAGAATCTGCACGGTGCAACCTGCAAAGAACGCTCGATCAGAAGCAAAGCTCTGACCTAATCAAGCTTTGGGACCTGACTATCAATGTATATAAGATAGAGGGGACAGAGGAAGATGTTAAAAGACAGTAGGGATGCAGTCATCCAGATCCTCTTTAGGGCAAATGACTCAGGTTTTTTCCGAAAAATAAATGACAAGGGAAAAAAAAGAGGGAGGGGTAATTATCAATTAACAGAGACTTAAGACATAGGTCCTCTAAATGCAGCATGTGCACCTTGTTCAAACCCTCATTCTAATTTGTAATGTTAAGTCAAGATAGGAAGAGTTTCCTGGTAATTATGAAGCTAATAGACTGCAGCACGCCCCACTTCCTCTTCCCAGGCACTGCTCCTATCCGCTGACACTCCAGTCTCTCTCTTCTGCCCAGACCCTCCTGTCCCCAAGACCCTCCAGCCCACCACTTTCCATGAAATCCTTCCTGGAGAGACATCAGGGTAGGCACTTGTCAGTTTATCCTTGTAGTTCTGCCCCTGTTACTTTATGTGTTTGAAAGCAAGTATTAGTTGCGTATAAGTTTAGAACTACTAGCTGTTCTCCGTGAATTGAACCTTTCATCAGTCTGCAGTGTTCTTCTTTACCTCTGCCCACAGCCGGTCTGACATTAACGTGGCTGCTCCAACTTTCTTTTGGTTTGTTTTGCACACACCTTTCTTTGGGTGTCAATTTTATATTTCAGGTGTGTCCCTAGAAACAGTATAAATGGTTCTTATATTTCGAATACAGTCTGACTTGAATACACTCTTCTCTTTTTGTGGTCACCTGAGAAATGTTAACACGCACATTTAAGCTCATAATTTATGAAGATAATATCTTTACCCTCCTCCCAACCCTCAAAATGCTTTAAATTTTGATCACATCTTCCTGGCTGAGAACCTATTGATAACAAGATTACCCACAAATTAGACATTGTTACTTTCCTTGTGAAAGTTCATCCACCTGCATACTTACCATTTGGGACATATTTGTATGTTGTTATGCTTTGACAGAAAGCTGACTTTCCAAATCCTGCAGGTTTAGTTCTGGTAGTCCCTTATTCCTTGCTCAGCTTTCTGGCTTCTCCCTCTCAACGAGCCACTCAAACTCAGCCCTGGTTGACCTGTCTGGTTGCCACCCTGACAGCTCCTATGGGGATGGAGGAGAGCATGACCCCACAGGGCCCTGATGCTGGATCACCCAGCCCAGGGGACATAAAGCAGTGGAGGGGACAGGATGGCCCTCAGGGGGCACCTCCAGTCCGGGCCCCCTCAGACTGTGACCCCCATCCTCTTCTGTCCCATCAAAACCCACCCACTGCTCTGTGGCTCCTGTGCCAAGTCACCACTGCACACTCAGTGGGGGCCGCGGGGGCTTTCCTGTCACCACCTGGAGCCCCTCCCTAGGATCTTGAGGGCAGTCCGGAGAGCAGGGACCAGAGCAAGCCCATCCGCAGCGATGCTTGGTCCCCTCCCAAAAAAGAGCCGCTGACTGTTCAGCTTCCAGTCACCTCGGCAGAGGCAGGAGGGACACTGGTTGCCAGGGGACGGTGGGTAGGTCCCTTGGAGGGTGTAGTGAGGGTTACAGTGAGGGCACCGTCTCCGGAGGGTTCAGGCTGGGCTGGGCCAGGGTGTGTGCCAATAGCGGCAATAGCCAGAGAGCAGAGGAGTGGGCAGCCGTAAGGTCGGGCAGGGCACAGGGTGAGTGGGAGCAGCATCCCAACCTGCGGAGGAAAGTCACGTGATGAGAAGGGAGCCTGCCTTGGCCTGGACGCCAGGGCATTGTACCTCTGCACAAGGCCTGCCGGAGAAGAGGGGCAGCTGGCTGCTGGAACAAGCAAAGGGCTCTCACCATCAGGTCTCTCTTTGTGACTAAAAATCCAAGAATTCCAAAAAAAGTAAACACTTACCTGTTAGAATGGCTAAAGTCCAAAATGCTGACAACACCAAGTGCTGCCGAGGATGTGGAGCAACAGAACTCTCATCTGTTGCTGGTGGGAATGCAAAATAGTGCAGCCACTTTGGAAGACAGTTTGGTGGGTTTTTACAAAATTAAAATATTCTTACAATATGATCCAGCAGTCATGCTCCCTGGTGTTTATCCAAAGGAGCTGAAGACTTGTGTCCACACAGAAGCCTGCCCACGGAGGTTCACGGCAGCTTTGTTCACAATCGCCCAAAAGCAACCAAGACGCTGTTCAGTGGGTGATGGACAGATAAACGTGGTCCATCCAGACAACAGGATATCATTCAGTGCCAAAAATAAATGAGCTATGAAGCCGTGAAAAGACACAGAGGAACCTTAAATGCATGTTACTAAGTGAAAGAAGCCAATCTGAAAAGGCTACATAGTCTGTGATTCCAACTCTATGACATTCTGGAAAAGGCAAAACTATGAAGACAGTAAAAAGATCAGGGGCTGCCAGGGGTACTTGGGTGGGGGGGGATGAATAGACCGGCACAGGGGATTTTTAGGGCTGTGAAACTGCTCTGTACGATACGATAATGGTGGATACGTGTCTATACGTTTGTCCAGACCCACAGAACGTGCAACACCAAGAGCGAACCCTGATGTAAACTATGGGCTTTATTAATAATGGATCCATATTGGCTCATCAGTTGTAGCAAATGAACTGCACTAATGCAAGATATTAATAACAGGAGAAACTGGGGGGTCAGGAGTACATGGCAACTCTCTGCACTTTCTGATCAATTTTTCAGTAAGCCTAAAACTACTCTAAAAATATAAAGTCTCTTAACTTTTTTTTAAAAAGTAAAAACATTAAAGTAGTGGAAGCCTTTTATATTCCTGAGGAGTGGAAAGCATTTTTTAACAAGAAAGAAAACCCCAAGGCATAAAAGAAAAGATTACTATAAGAAGATAGAAAATTAATGTAAAGAACTCTAAGGTAAGGGCCGGCCCCATGGTGTCGTGGTTTGGGTGCGGGGCACTCCACTTCGGCAACCTGGGTTCACAGGTTTGGATCCTGGGCACCAACCTACTCCACTCATCAGCCATGGTGTGGCAGCGACCCACATAGAAAGTGGAGGAAGACTGGCACAGATGTTAGCTCAGGGCTAATCTTCCTCAAGCAAAAAAAACCAAAAAGCAAAAGAGGAAGATTGGCAACAGATATTAGCTCAGGACTAAGCTACCTCAGGAAAAAAAAAACTAAGGTAAAATACACCATAAATTAGAAGGCAAACAACAATCTTGGCAAAAATATTTACAACAGATAAAAGAGACAAAGGACAACTCTCTTTATAATGAGCTATAAAGAAAAGAAAAAGAGCCAACAACCCACCAGCAAAAGCAGGCAGAGGCCTTGGAGACCAGAGAACACAGTGCTGATGCACAGGCGACAAGACAGTGCCCCGGGCCTGGGGAGATGCCGAGTAAAGCAGTGCCGCATGAGGGAGGCCCCCACCCAGGGTGGGAAGGGCTCCGTCACGCTGAGCCTGAGGCGGGCCGTCTGCCTCTCTTAAATTCGAAGCAGGCAGACTGTGACCAGCGGCTCTCCAGGAATCCTTTCTGCGTATATGCTGTGGGTTGAACTGTGTCCCCAGAAAGATCTGTACGAATCCTAACCTCCAGATCCGACCGTGTTTGGAAATAGGGTTGCTGCAGATGTAATTAGCTGAGATGAGGTCACAATGGAGTGGGGCCCCTAATCCAATAGGACGGGTGTCTTTGTAAGAAGACAGAGACACATGGGGTGAATGCCATGTGACCACAGAGGCAGAGACTGGAGTGATGTGGCCACGAGCCAAGGGACGCCAAGGATGGCCGGCGCCACCAGCAGCAGGAAGAGGCAGGAAGGATCCTCCCTCCAGGTTTCAGAGGCAGCGCAGCCCCGCCCACACCTTGATCTTGACTTCTAGCCTCAGAACCGGGACAGTAAATTTCTGGTGTTTTCAGCCGCCCGGTCTGTGCCCCAGGAGACGGATGCGACCCACATGCGCACACAGACGCGGGAGACCGTTCACCGCAGCACGATACTCACGGGAAGCGTCCTTCAGCAGGACACAGCGTGAAGCTCTGTGAGGCTGCCACCCGAGGAGGACACGGAGCGTCCATGGTAGACTGACGAGAGCAGGTGCAGGACGATGTGGGGAGTACGGCTCCGTTATTGCGAGGAAAACAAACCAAAGTCATGGGCTTACTGACACGGCACAGGACAAGCAGCTGGGGACATGCCACCGTGAACAGACTATCCCCGGGGAGTGGGGCTGGGTGAGGGGGTCTTTGACTTTCCGCTGTCTCCCAGAGAGGTATGCTTTCTCAAGGATGAGGCTTCTATTGAACCGATAACTTGGAATAAATTTCACTAGAATAACATGCACTTGGCTCTCTTGTCTAGGCAAAACTTGCCTAATTTACTGGTCAGGAGATCCAGAACCCCACTCCACCCTCCCCACGGGGCACACAGTCAGACCACAGAGGCCTCGTGGTGAGGGGATTTCAATGGGTCATGAAGGACAAGGACGACGCACAGCAGCTTGGGTTTTCTGGGTCCCAAATGGGAAGACTGGGATGCCATGCTTTGCAGGCCAGGAACCAGAGAGGCCAACTGTGCTGCAGCCCTGACAGCTGGCTTTTCTGTTTGAATGCAAGTGCCTGGCCTCAGCTTTGACTGCTGGCGCCCACTTCAAAGAGGGCATTCAGTCCAATGACGGCTGTCTGGAAAAAACACGTCGTCAGCCACTCGACTAGATAAAGAGCCACTGCTCCCCCCAGGCCCCCCAGGCTCCTTTGTTTCACAGATCCTGGTTGGTTTCTATAACTCACTTTTGGGGCCTCTTGTTTTTTCTCTTCCCAAGCTTTAAATTCCCACTCTTATGTTTTAAATTCACCAATAAAGAGTGAGCCCACGAAGCCCTAGGCCCCCACCCTCCACCCCAAGAAAAGCAGAACCCCAGGCCCATGCGCTCACTCTCTGTACAATACTGTAATGATGGTGTCAATGCAAATAACCAACAGCCACTCTATAGATAAGAGAGGGACGGTGAGGTCTACCTGAGCCAAGCTGAGGACTAGCCCAGGGAAGGCAGTCTCCACAAAGGAAGAAAGCGTTCTGGAGAAGCATGGTTTTCAGTACAGTTTTATACCTTTTTAGAACGAAGAACATACAGCAAACACACCAGGGATACACATTCATCAAAGGTTCAAAGAGATACGCAATTATAGGTTAGCAGGTCAACATGACCCTGCTGTCCGGGAAAGGAGACATCTCCAGGAGCACTGATACTCCGTGCAGGCACAGCAGTGAGCAGCCTATCCTCAAAGCATTCTTTACTTTGAGACAGTGTTTAATGCATCCTCCTCTTAGTTTTTTGTGCGTGTGAGGAAGATTGTTGCTGAGCTAACACCTGTGCCAGTCTTCCTCTATTTTATGTGGGATGCTGCCACAGCGTGGCTTGACAAGCAGTGCTAGGTCCGTGCCTGGGATCCAAACCTGTGAACCCCAGGCAACCAAAGTGGAGTGTGCAAACTTAACCACTACGCCACCAAGTCAGCCCCTAATGCATCCTTATCTTTAATGGTTAAAGCAGACGGACAATGTATGTCTGACAGGCCTTAAGTCAAGCTTCTTTAGTTCAGGCCAAACCAGGTTTAAACCAGAACAGTACCCCACATACCTCAATATGTGAAAATTCATTATCATTGGATACATTGCGACCTCGCTGTGTGGCCCCAGGCGGGCTGTGTAATTTCCAGGTGCTGTAGGTCATAAACCTTTATTTTGCCAAAGTTTCTTTATGGTTACTACTGAAGGGCATCTTGTAGTCATAACAGGAACCAGAAGGGCCGGCCCAGCCACAACAGTGGTTATTGATAGGCTGAGACCAGCACCAAACACCAACTCTGAGACGGAAACGCAGGCTGCGGGCGTGCTGAGGAGAGGATGTGTGCACAGGGAGGAGTGAGGGCCCAGGCCGACCCACAGGGCGCTCTGAAGCTGGTGCCTTTACACGCTCTGGAGCTGTTACACGTCTCCATCGACCTGTCATTGGAGGCAGTCATCAGGAAGGGGGGCCAACTTGGGCCAAACAACTCACTTTGGCCAAGGGCCCTTCCTGGAGGGCTGACCCATGAGGGCTGTGGCAGCAGCACTCTCAGCAGCTGGGGGACCGTCCCTTTAGTCCTGAAGGGGCATTCAAATGGCATGTCACTGCATCTGCTACAAACGCCAAAGGGTTGAGTTTTATTTGCAGGACTGGAGGGAAAAGTGAATCAGGAAATAGCAGGACTGGATTCATGTTGTACAGAAGGACCTGGTGCCTTTACTGGAGCCAGAGCTGCCTGAGGAATAAGGTGGGAGCTGCCAGGCAGCCTCATTCAGAAGGCACCACGGGAGACGACAGGACGCCTCTACAGAATACTGTCCTAGCTCCCTTAGGTGTCTCTCCTCCCCAAATGGTAAGGCATTGGAGAAAGCCGCCCCCTCTCTCAAGCCTGTTCCCAAGTGACCTCCAGGAGTCTGGAGGAGCCTCACAGAGTAGCCTGAGGAGCCCACCACTTAGGAGGGACTCGGGGGGGCCTGATGGCGGCACAGGACCACTCACTGCCCGCTTCTGCCTCCCATGCGGTCTCAGAAGCAGCGCTGCCCCGGGGCTGTCCTACAGTGGACGTCACTGAACTTTACCCACCCGCTGACTTCCCTGATTCCTCTTTTAAAAAGAACCTCCCTCTCCTCTTGCTCCTTTGTAGGGAATTTTGTCGTACCCAAATTTTCCACATGGTCCTTGAGTTGCAGAAGCCCCTTCGGGTTGTGACAGACACACTGGACACCAGCTCTGGGGAGGCGGGCCCACGCGGTGCTCAGCCACTGCTCAGGCATGCATGCTGGCTCTCTGCCACCAGGGGCGGGCAGCCAGACGGGAAACTGGATGGCGCATCAGAGACAGTGGGGGGCACCCGCGAGCTGACCACCTTGTCTTCCCCTCTCTGCGGTAGGTAAAGATAGCCCCCGGCCACCACAAGGGGGCCTGCAAGTCAGGAGCTGCGAGCCGATCAGAAAGCTCTTCCAAAGAGGCCATCAAGAAACCCAGCTTAGTGGCAGCACCAGGAGCACAGTGAGCACGTCCTGAGGCTGTCTTACCGAGGCCTCGCCTTTCTTGGGGCTTGACTGTTGAGCTCTGCTTGGACTGTGGAGACAGGACATTCCTGCAGTTGCAGTCCCGCACTGCACAACGACACAGGCTGTCTTTCCTGAAAAGTGTGCGTGTGCGCAGGGGCTGTGCGGAGAGGGTGAGCGAACTCGAAGCGGTCAGCTGTGAGATGCCCGGGCCCCCTCAGAGTTCCCTCTGTGCCTCCTTGCCCCCCGGCTCCACAACCCACCATCCAGCTGTGGACAGTGATGGGCCAGGTGGAAAGGAGGTTTCCTAAAGTTAAGTCCGGTATGGTTCCGACATTAGGCTCATACTGAGGAATCCTCTTTTTTCATACTTTTGCTCAAAACCTGCACGTTTCTTATTCCCCAAAACATTTCATTTGGTGGGCCATGACTTCGATCCCAGGAGACCACAGACGCAAGCATTACAAGGTGGATTATCAAGGGCAAGGCTGCATGGGAGAAGCCGCTGCCTCCTACCCGGGCCCTGCACTGCCAACTCCATGCGCACGCGCCCTCAGTGGAGGGTCTCAAGGGTTTGGGACATCTGCAGACTCCACGAAGACCCAGAACATCAGGTATGTAGTGTTTATGATGCATCCTTCCCAGCATGACCCCAAACATCTGTATTTACCAAGCATTATGCTTCCCCAAAGATGACCAGATGGTCTGGCTGCGGCTTCAGAACACACTGGGGCTGTTCGGGGTGCTCGGCCTGCTGGGAATGTGCTCTCCCTGAGCGCCAGGCTCTCCTCTCCCTGGACACACAAACTCCCTGGTCTTGGGCAAGGCTGCAGGGGCCACTGTGTGGTTCTCATGTTCCTGGGGTTCTCACTGCTCCAGGGCACACGTGTGCTGGGTGTAGACATGCAGGCTGGACAAGAGCGTCCCCTGGGGACAGAGAGTGGAAGGCCAGGTCACAGGCATGATTCTTACAAATCAGCCCCAGTGGGACACCATCCTGCCCCAAAGTGGACTCACGTGTCCTCTGTCCCAGGGAAACGCAGGCAAAAGTGGCAGCTACTCCCCTGGCTGATGGTGGAGCTCCACTGCCACCAGGCTCGCCTGCCCTGAGAAGGCTGGTACTTCTCACCTGCTGTGAGACTCCGTCCTCCTGGGGACGTGGTGACAGCAAGAGCTGAGGGGCAGGCCCTGTTGTGCCCTCACGAGCTCCACTACCACGACTCTCCATCTGCATCTTGTCTGAAGGCAGCTTTCTCAGGAAGCGACATGCAAATGCACACAGGAGCCACAGCCTGGCCAGCCAGTACTGTGTCTGCCAATTACTGCTCCCTTGAAGGACTCTCCAGCCAGAGCCTGGGAAGCTGGGCACCAAGAAACTACAGACTGGGACGTCCACCACAGCCGTGGTCTAAGCAGCCGGCAGCAGTGAGCGAGGGGCAGCTGGAGGCCTGACGCTCCCACTCTTCAACTGCCCCTCAGCCCAAGGTGGCCGCTGGGATCAGTCGACAATTGTCGTCAGATGGAATTTAGTTAGTTACATAATTATTCATTGTTCATATTTAACTCCACACAATTGCATCATGAAGGATTAAAACCCAGAAACAGGGGAGACAGTCACCTGGCCAGCGGGCTCCTGCAGGACAAAGTTCGAGTCTTTAGAAGTGCTACCCAGAGCGGTGACTGCTCACACCCCCAAGGCAGGCCATTCAGACCTGCACACAAACACCATCTGAAGGCCTTCACAACTCCACACATTGGGGGAAACCCACCAGGCACTTCCCTGCCCAACAGCTCTGAACTGGAAGAAAAATACAGGCACTAGTACAAATGTTTGGATTCCATAAATAAGAGAAAAGTCACTCAAATGTTCCATTGGGTAGACTTCCATTTATTCTAGAGGCCCTGCACCCCACACCCCCATGTCCTCACTGGCCAGGAGAAGGCTGGTCTACAGACCAGGACTGACCCAGAGAAGCTCCTGCTATGACCTGGATTGTGTCCCCACAATTCCCACATGGAAGCCCTAACCCCTAATGGATGGTATTTGGAGGGGGCCTTTGGGAGGTGGTTAGGGTTAGATGAGGTCGTGAGGGTGGGCCCCGTGATGGTATTAGTGCCCTTATAAGAAGAGACGGCAGAGCTCTCTCTCTGTCCACTATGTGAAGACACAGCGAGAAGGAGGCCATCTACAAGCCTGGAAGAGAGTCCTCACCAGGAACCCACCATGCTGACCGCATCTTGGACTTCTGGGCTCCAGAACTGAGAAAATCAATTTCCAATATTTAAGACCCCTAGTCTGTGGTGTTTTGTTATGGCAGCCCAAGCCAACTGAGACGGCTTCGTAACTTAAGACTTAATGGCTGTTTTCAACCATCTTCAGTAAGTGTTAATGAACTTAAAATATAATATCCTGTAAAACAAAAAAAAATACAGAAAAATTTCAAGCATACCCATCACCTAGCTTCAACAACTCATTCTGCTAATATTGCTTTGTCTTCCTTATTAGAATTTTAAAGCAAATCCCACATCACATCATTTCACCCATGAATGTCAGAATGTGTCTTTAATAAGGACTTATAAAAACAGAACCACCATGACATTATCACAACAAAATCCTTAATACCACTACCATCCAGTCCATGCTCAGATTTCCACAACAGTCTCTGACGTGCCTTCTTCAGCTGGTTTGCGCAGATCAGGATCAGACATCCTCAGAGCACTGGTCCCTGGCGGCCCCCTCTTCCCCAGCCTGACTCACTGAGAGGTCACTGCCTGGCAGCATCTCCCTGTCTGATCTGGCTCAGTGCTTCCTCTTGGTGGTTTGAACCTGCCCTTCACCCCCCATTTCCTGTATACTCACTTCTAATTCTATCATTCCATCCACATTTGTTAGCTGGAATTCTTAAAAAACAAAAGAAAATCAGAATCTTTCATCAACTATTTGGCTAACCTGAAACGGTGTTCATACCAGCAAGGGGGCAAGTGTCCTGCCCTGACCAGCTCTGAGTGGGAGCCGCTGCCCTCGGGAGCTGCACTTGGCAGTTATACTTCCGTGCTGGTCAAGCGGAGACGCCTGAAGTTTAGAACAAAGAGGTGCCTCTTCCTCCTAAAACTCCCTCTCGCGAACACGGCTGTCCCTTACTGCTCTAAGACCGGACTTCACTCACTGATTCAAGGTGCGGGACCTAAGTCTCTCCTGAAGGTGCCGTGGGGGGACTTGCGTGGCAGTGGTCACCTTGGTGAGCAGTCAACCACTCCGACCTAATCAGCTCCTGGACACCACCCACCAGCACAAAGGCACCTGCAGTTGCTGTGGTGACCATAAAGCCACAACATGGTAGTGGCTGTGGGGGTCCTACTTAGCAAAGAAAGATCCTAAAAGCAGAGGGCCTGGGGCTGAGCAAAGCCATCACAGGCCGGGAGCCATGTCGGTGACACATCCACATGCGTACTCAGGTCTGGTGAGACCCCTCCAGGCCTCATGGGCCACACGGGAACCCTCTGCCGGCTTCCTCACCACACGTCCCTGCAGCCGACACAGGCTCTGACGGACAGTCACCACCAGAGTACCAGAAGCTCCCAGTGCCTGACCTCACCGGGCGGAGGGACTCAGCTGTGCTCTTGGGAGCAAAGGGCTGAGTCTGGAGCGAAAGGACCGTGCAGACCCACATGGCTTCTTCGACAGATCTGCGAGCATCTGATCACATAACTCTGGGAGAAAAGCCCTCCAAACTGCACGTGCTCACAAACATTAACAAACACACACAGCAAGATGCCATGATGTTTTACCAAAGACCTAGTATCTACAAGTTAATCTAGGCTGGAGAGAGGGGCCACAGCAACGGGGCTGCCAGGGCAGGGTTCTTAGACACTTGTGAGGACACACGGGCCCAAGCAGGTACCAGATGGATGCCGTGTCCTCACGCAGAGGACTTGCTAACCACAACTCTGGTTCTGAGTTCCGGGTGACCACTGAAGGTCTGGAATCCTCTGACGAGCTCACGACATTACAAAGGTGCCCCTTTCTAAGTTGCACCTACAAAGACTGCAGGAGGGGCTGTACTTCTGTGTAAAACCCACAGCTGCCTTAAGATGCAGAAATGGGATGCAAGTTGAAAAAGACAAACAGACCAGACAAGGAAGGGAGTGAAAAAGAGGTAGGAAGGGAAGAAAGTTAAGGTCACAGGGAGAGCCCTTGGCCCTGGGGAGGGGCAGGGGCCTGGCACCTGGAACCTGGCGCTGCACCTGCTTGGCCTCCTCCTGCTACCATGACCATGGGAGCACCCGGGCTCTTGCCACAGTGTGCCCCTCAGACCCACTTCTCCTGGAGGGCGGTGTTCCCAGTGATGCCACTCGGGAGAGCCAGGAGCTCTGACTGCACCTTTCCTGCAGGTCTGGGATCAAGGTGGCTTCTTCCCGCCTCGTTAAGTCAGGACCCACCGCCTCCCGCGGCGCCTGCAGACCCAGACACGCGCCGTGGGCGCTCCTACACTTCCCCTCTCCTGTGGGTCCTCTGATGCCGCGTGAAGAAGCCCAGGTGGCGGAAGCCCTTCCCGCAGCGGTCGCATTCGTAGGCCCTCCTGGTCAGGTGCAGCCTCTGGTGGATGCTGAAGCCCTTGGGCCACCGGAAGGCCTTGCCGCACTGGGCACACGTGTAGGGCTTCTCCCCGCTGTGGATCCTCCGGTGGTGGGTGAGGTTCTCCTTGGTGCGGAAGGCCTTCCCACAGTCTGTGCAGCAGAAAGGCCTCTCCCCGCTGTGTAGCAGCTGATGCCGGAGAAGGTTCGACTTCTGCTTGAAGGCCTTCCCACAGTCCCCGCACGGGTAGGGTTTGTGCTCAGTGTGGACCTTGCGATGCTGGGCGAGGCGGTCTTTCAGGCTGAAGGCCTGTCCACACACCTCACAGCTGAAGGGCTTCTCATTTGTGTGGTTTCTCTGGTGTCTCAACAGGTTTGAGACCCACCTGAAGGTCTGGCCACATTCAAAACACGCGAAGGACTTGGCTCCCGTGTGGACCGTCTGGTGAGCAGTGAGCCGGCTGTGACAGCTCAGGACTTTCCCACACGTGTCACAGATAAATGGCTGCTCCTGAGCGGGACACTCCTGCTGCTCTTGGAGGCCTGGCGGCTGCCCGCAACACACCCCACACCCGCCGCACTGCAGAGCCGCCATGCAGGGAAGCTGCACGTCGTCCGAGCTCAGAAGGAAGCTCTTCCCGAAACCAGCGCCAGCCTCGGCTCTCTTGGACTCGTGGATTTCCTCATGGGTTGCCGACAGCCGATTATGCTGTCTCTTCTGGTAAAGGGACTTCCCTGCTCCTGGGGAGGAACACAGGCGCTTACACAGGGCTGGCAGCCCTGAAGACGGGCCAGCAAAACAGAAGAAAAGCTACAAAATGTGTCCTATCAGCTCATTTCAATCTAATTAAGGATTCACTCCAAGTAAGTGGCACAGGTGTGGTAAGGAAACACACAGACAAGCCAGAAGTGTCAACAGTGGGAATGAAAGTGAACTGAAATGCTCACCCGAGGCAGGTGAGAGTTAGGTACACTCCTGCATCATCGGCATGATGGAAGACTCTAAACTTCAAGTTGGCTTACACGGCCCAAGAGTACAGGTACATACTTGTCTTCGCATAGGAAGAAAGACACCAATCAGGGTAGAAAGAACGCCCTAAGCTTGCCTCCGTCCATTCAACAAGGCCCTGGTGGGGTGGGGGGTGACGCCAGGGACAGGCATGTAGAAGCTGGGGAGCTCTGCAGAGTTGTTCTGAACCACTCACCCTCCAGGATGTAAGCTCCTCTCCAGCCAGGGACCTGAGACCCTCTCCGTCCTGGGGCTCCACACAACCCAGTGTCTTCCCAGCTTGTCTCATTTTCACACATCTGCTTGATCTCACTTCTGAGAGAATCTGAAATCAACAAGAGAAGCCCACCACTGCGCCCACCACCTCATTGATGGAGGGAGGCACCGTTACCATCTGGTTTTACAAAGGCATAAACAGCACACAAAGCACCTGCCCAGGCCACCGGGAAGACCCTCAGAGAAGCGGGTCAGGCTCCTGACTTCATCCTGTGAGCACATGTGGCCGCCAGGCCTCAAATAGCTACACCCAGGGTCTCCACAGGACAGTGCCCGGCCCTCTCAGGCCAGACCCAAACTGAGGCTGCACCTGCCGCCTGCCCGCCTCACACATCCCCAGGGCGTGCTTGGCACTCCTTGGGGCAGCTCTCAGTGCAGGAGTGTGGCTGACACCCCGTGGGTTTCCACAGTCTCATTAGGAAGCAGCTCGGCACCCACAGTCCCACTGGGAGAGGAAAACGGACAGACACTGCATGTTGAGCTCACCCGGGAGCTGGGAGGTGGGAAAATGGGGAGCCCTCCACGCTTCCTGAAACTTGGCTCTCTCCTGCTCCTCAACCCATGGCTCATCCCACTGTTCCAGGTGAGAGATGAGGTCTGGTCTGGGGCCGCAAAATCCTTCTCAAAGGAGAGAAAAGGTGCTGTTTTATTTGTAGAGAGGACAAAGCGAGGGTGCAGGGGCTCAGGCCAGTCCTCAGGGATCCTCCAGAGAAGCTGCCCCAAAACAGAGACAACAGAGAGAAAGGGAGTCAGGGCAGCAAATGGGCTCTCCTTCCCCCCTCCCTGCTGCTGGCAAAGGCCCAGAGAAGGTTCCAGCAGTGCCAAGTCCAACAGTGGATGGACCTGAGGAAGAGGGGGCTGCCTCCAAGAGCACAAAGAAATGCCCTTGGCCAGACTTGGTGCAGAACAGCCCCTCTATGGGACATAGGACAAAGGCTCCCACTCCCAAACCCCCGTAGCCTGGACTCCAGGCCCCAGCACCATCGAGGGAGCAGGGAGGCTCTAGAGACTGAAAGCACAGTCCTTACCCAGTGCGGCCAAGTTCCCAAAATTATCCAGCATCACGTCCCGGTAGAGGGCCCTCTGGCTGGGGTCCAGACACTGCCACTCCTCCCTTGAGAAGTGTATGGCCACCTCCTCGAAGGTCACCGGCTCCTGCAACAGACAGCTCCCCCCCAGGAGCAAGAAGTCACACCTGGCTGCTCTTGAGGCTGGCAGGACAGCAGGAAATAAAGAGAAGCTAAAACCCACAGGTCTGGGCTGGAAGAAAAAGTGTGTGTGCGCAGAGGCTGGAAGCTTAGGCATGAGGGAAGGCACATGTTAGGGACTAAATGTCTGTGTCCCCCAAATTTGTACGTAGAAGCCCTAACCCCAGTACGGCTGTTTGAAGACAGGGCCTGTAAGGCAGTAATTAAGGTTAAAAGCGGTCACGAGGGTGGGGCCTGATCCGATAGGATCAGTGTCTTCATAAAAAAAGACACCAGAGAGCTTGCACACCCACTCTCCCCCTCTCTCAGGCGGCCGTCTGCACACCAGGAAGTGGGTCCTCACCAGAACCCGACCATGCCGGCACCCTGGTCTGGGACTTTCAGCCTCCAGAACAGTGAGAAGTACTCAAATGCTTGTGGTAGTGAGTTATGGCAGCTCTAGCAGACAAGATAGCACCTAAGAGAAGGACACGTATTTTCAACTTTTCTGTAACATCTACTGAGGTCTTACTGTAAATGAATCACATTTTCTTTTTGTTCCTCAGTCCATAAGAGGGAACGACCAATCAGGCAGGGAGCCACAGACCTCTGGAGCCACCACCGTGGACCCCTCGCCACGGTGGGCTGGAGGCTGGGGCTCGGGCACCTGCAGGGCTGGGGAAGGCTGCGCTCACCTGGGACACATCCATGGGAACAGCAGTGGCCTGCAGGGAGACGTGTGGGCCCTCGCTGGGGAAAGGCAGGTGCCGAAGAGCAGCCAATCTGGGGAGACAGAGAGTGAGTGAGAGCTGCAGCCTGGAAGCCCCCACCTGACTCAGGAGCTGCACCTACTCAGGGGGCCGAGGGGGATTCAGGAAAAACCAGTGACACAAGGGCACACATGCTGGCAGGGGATGCTGCTAGCAGGGGATGCTCCATAATAGAAGGGGAACTGGGGGCGCGGAGCGGGCCAGCACCACTGTAGGGAAATCACTAGCTGCGATGTGCTACCTCACACACAAGGACCATGACATTCCAGAAGGCAAGCCACAGTCTCTCACCAAATGATAGCTGAGAGCAGCCATTTATGGCTGAAAGCCAACAGCTTTTTTGCAGACATGTCACTGGAGAATTTGGGGCTAAAACCCCACTTGAGGCAGCCTGGGTTCCCCCCCAGGAGACAGGACCAGGACAGCCCATGCCCATGGCACTGCACACACAAACGTCCTCGGGCATCTTCCCACAAACAAGGCCACCTCACAGCCTTCCCCCAAACGCAGCTATGGTGCAGCTCTTTATTCTTCCTTATTCTCCATCAGAGCTTCATCATTCTTCACCTAGTTTGGGGAATAAGCCACAAGCTCCCAAACCGAGCAGCAGGCTCTGCTCAGATCAAGCATCTTCCCCCAGGTCTGTTCAGAACCACCCTCCTGGAAGCCCAAAGACTCCTGCCACAGTGGGCTCCTGTGTCCTGCCTGGGTGAAACATGGAGCCCCAAGATGCAGGAGAGGCCAGTTCTAAAGATGCCCCGAGAAAAGACAGACCAGCTGGAGGAAGATGCCTAGTTGCCCATATTAGGAATGAAAGAAAGAGGCCTCGCTACAGATCCCTTAGACATTAGAAGTATCATAAAGGGCCGTTACAAGCAACTTCATGCCAACAAACTCAGTAACTGAGATGAAAGAGACAAATTCCCTTAAAAGCACACTATGAAACTGACAAAAAAAAAAAAAACCCTCCCACAGGGAAAACACCAGACCCAGCTGATTCACTGATGAACGGCACCAAACCCTTAAGGAAGACTAGCACCAATCTTAGAAGCCTTTACAGGAACTGAGAAAGAATACATTCCAGCTTGTCTCACGAGGCCAGCAAAGCCTTCATACCAAAACCTGATAAAGACACTATAAGACAAGAAAAGTGCAGTCCAACCTCACTCATAAGCAGACACAGAAATTCCTAACAAAATATTAGGAAGTCCAATACAGTGATCTATAAAAAGAACTATAGTCTCCAACAAAACTCCAAATGGAGTTTATCTGAAGAATACAAAGTTGGTTTGATCATCATTCACTGGAGTTAATGACTCCAGGGCTGGAAGGCACCAGATCAGAGCACAACTTCCCAGAAGGATGCCTTTGCCCAGCTCAGCTCGGGCCTCTGTGGCAACCTCTCTTCACACCCATCTGCCTCACTCGCCACACCCACCTCCGGCCCAGCCACTCCAGCTGAGAGTTCTGCCGGAAGTTCATGGGGTTCATCCTTTGACATTCACTGGTAGTTACAGCTAACTGCTAGATGTTTTCCTGAGTATGTTTGTCAGGTTGAGATTTTCCTCATCTTTTCCTTTCAAGGGCATGGCATCACTTTCAGTCACAATGACTTCCTCAACTTTTCCTGTCACTTGAAAATGAAGCAACACAATTACCCACATTAACAGAATAAAGGAGAAAAACTACCATAAGAAAACTATATGATTATCTCAGTAGATGTAGAAAAGGCATTTGTTAAAATTCATCATCCAATCCCGAGAAAAACAAGGAACAGAACAGAAGCTCCTCACCCGGATAAGCCTGGGCTGACATCACAGCTAAAGGTCAAAACCCAGCTCCCCCTCTGGGCTCAGGAACAAGGCACGGCTGTCCGCTCTCACTGCCTCTCCTCAGCCTGGCGGTTCAGGCCAGTGCAAAGAAGGAGAAAGAAACAGAGCCATAAAGATTAGAAACAAAGAAGTGGAACTGTCATTATCCAAGGATGACATGAGAGTGCTTGTAGGAAAATCCTAAGGAATCCTCAAGCAAATAAAAACTAGAGCTAATGAGTGAAGTAAGGTCAGAGGATATAAAAACCAACTATATTTCTACCAGCAATGAATACTGGGAAAGTGAAATAAAAATTACAATGTAATAATTGCAAAAACAACAAAAAGTCAAATGCCTAGTGGGGCATAACAAGAAATCCTCAGTTCCTGGTACAAATCTCCTCAAACCCTTGGAATTTCATTCATAAGGAGCGCCCCCCCCCCTTTTTTTTCTTTTGTTGAGGAAGATTAGCCTTGAGCTAACATCCGCCAATCCTCCTCTTTTTTGCTGAGGAAGACTGGCCCTGAGCTAACATCCATGCCCATCTTCCTCTACTTTATATGTGGGACGCCTGCCACAGCATGGCTAGTCAAGTGGTGCCATGTCTGCACCCGGGATCCGAACTGGCAAACCCCGGGCCGCTGAAGCAGACCGTGTGCACTTACCCACTGGGCCATGGGGCCGGCCCCAGGAGCCCTTTTTTAACTTATGTTAATGAGGTGACTTGGAAAGCTCCTAAGTTGGGGGGGGAGGCCTGGTTGCCGGGGAATCAAACACTGTGAGGAGAGGGTTGGAACTTTCCCCTCAACCCCTGGGGAAGGGACAGGGGCTGGAGGTTGGACCAATCACCAAGGGCCAACGATTTCATCAATCATGCTTGCGTAATGGAACCTCCATAATAACCCAACGGAGGGGTTCGGAGAGTGTCCAGGTTGGTGACCACGTGGAGATTCGGGGAGAGTGGCTGCTGGGAGAGGGCATGGAGGCTCCGCACCCTTCCCATACGTGCCCTGTGCATCTCTTCCCTCTGGCTGGTCCAGAGTTTCATCCTTTCATGACAAACCAGTGATCTAAGTAAAGTAAGCAAAATGTTCCTGTGAGTTCTGTGAGCCGCTCCAGCAAGTTAATCAAACCCAAGGAGGGGGCGAGGGACCCTCCGATCGGTAGCCAGTTGGTCAGAAGCACAAGAGAGGACCTGGACCTGCAAGTGGCATTTGAAGTGTGCGTGCGCGCATTGGGGGGCAGTTCTGCACAACTCAACCCTTAACCTATGGGGTCTGACACTATCTCCAGGTAGCTAGTCTCACAATTTAGTTAACTGCTTGGCGGTGTGGGAAAAAAAACACACATTGGACCTAGAAATACATTTAACAAAAAATGTGCAAGTCCTCCACTCTCAAAATTACAAAACAAAGCTGAGCAAACTTGAAGACAGAAGCAAACTGAGAGAAAGCCCATGTTTATGGGGATTAAGCTTTCAATTCTCCCTAAGGGATCCAGAACTTCAACGGCACTCCAGGCAAAATTCCCAGCAGGTGTCTTTTCTTTTTTGTAGAAATGGACAGGCTGACTATAAAACGTACATGGAAAAGCAAAGCACCTCAAATAATCCACCTTGAAGAACAAAGGGGGAAGACTTACACTACCTGATTCTAAGACTAAGGTTCAGCTACAGTAATTAAGACGGCGTAGTGTTGGCATAAAGACAGACATACAGATCAACGGAGCATGACAGTTTGGAAACAGACCCACACATACAGTTAAGTGTTTACGACAAAGGCACCAATGTAATTCAAAAACACCAAAGTTTTTTTTTTCAATTAATGGTGCCATAACAATAGAAAAAATTACACTTGTACAGTTAACACCCCCTGCCCCACCCATACCCAAAAAGAATTCAAGATGGATCAGGGATGCAATGTAAAAGCTGAAGCTATAAAACGTCCAGAAGAAAAACTCGGAGAATATCTTCATACCCTTGGGGCAGGCAAAGATTTCTTTCATGGAACCCTAAAAGCACTAACCTTAAAAAAAAACTGATACATTGGACTTATCAATTTATTGTGCTTATCAAAAGACAGTTAAGAAATGACAAGGCAAGCCACAGACTCGGAGGAAACATTCCGAGTACACGTATCTGACAAAGGACTCCTATCCAGAAGTCCTCCAAGTCCATAATAAAAAGAAAAATACAGTTTAAAATGGGCACAATATTTGAACAGACACTTCACCAAAAGACGCCCGGTGGTCTAGACACACATGAAAGGTGCGCCGGGCGCATGCGCCATGAGAAGCGTTCAGGTGGAGACCCAGCTCCTCCAGGCACGGATGAGCACCAGGGCGACGAAATCGGAACGGTTCCCTGAACTGAGCACCCACCACGCGCTGCGAACGGGCTGGACGCGGCCTAGGGAAGCAAAGGGGGCGGGAGGGACCCGTGAAGCAGGCAGGGGCGGCGAACCGAGGGGTCCCGGGCCGCAGCTCGCGGGACAGGCAGGAAGGGAGACTACCGGCATGAGTTACGTCTTCGAAGGACCCGTCCGGTGGACACACCAGAAGGCAGCAAGGGGAAGACAGTGAGACGACCTCCGGGAGCCGAGGGCGGAGGCGGAGGGCGGGGGTGGGGGCGCGGAGGGGGAGTCTGAGCCGCGGGAAGGAGTGAACTACGACGGAGTTTGCAGCGCGGCGCCGGGGGCGCCGGGGCGGGGCGGGGCGGGGCGGGGAGACTCGCCCTCCGCGGGATGGCGGGGGAGGCGCGCTGACGGCGTGTGGACACCTGGCTGGCCGTGACCCTAAGCCGGCAGCGGGACGCGGTGTCCGGATCCCACCGCAGTGGTCCAGCCGGCGTCGCAGACGCGGAGGTCGGCTATGAGGTGACCGTGGCCGGGTCCCGGGGGGCCCAGCACAGCGCACGCGGGCGCGCCCCTAACGAGCCGAGGACGCACGGCCGCGGAGAGGAGGCCGCGCGGGGACGGGCGGAGAGCGGAGCCGAGGCGCACCGCTGACTGGCAGGTGGGCCCCGCCGTCCGATCCCCGAGGGCGCGGGCCGGGGAGGGGGCGCGGCGAGGGGGCGGGACACGAACCGGCGCCGGGACTCACCCGCTGCCCCGCGCCGCGGCTCCCGGCTCGCTCCAGCTTTCTCAAACTTCCCCAGCGGAAGTGCTCCTTCCGCCACCGGAAGCGGCGCTCCCGCCCAGCCCGGAAGCCCGTCTCAGTGGTGCGCGCAGGCGGCTCCCAGGGGTCCAAGGGGCGAGCCAGCCGGCCCCACTCAGCCTCCGTCTCCCACCTCCGCCCCCAGCTGAGGGGCGCGCTCTGAGCGCGCGGGGAGGTCTGTGGGTTTTTATTTCTACTGTGGTAAAGCACACATGACATAAAATTTATTATCTTAGCCATTAAGTGTGCAGTGGTGTTAAGTACATTCACATTGTGCTTTTGAGCTCCAAGCTTCATCTTGCAAACCAGCAACTCAGCACCCATTAAACAACCGCTTCTGTCCGCTCTTCGCCCCAGCCCTTGACAACCATCTGCCTCTATGAATTTGATTAAGTACATCGGATAAGTGGAGACGTACCGTATTTGTCTCTTTGTGGCTGGCTTATTTCACTTAGCATGATGTCCTCAAGGTTCATCTACGTGGTAGTGTGTGACAGGATTTCTTCCTTTAAGGGTGCATAAGAGCTCTATTGTGTGGATAGATCGTACTTTCTTTATCCATTCATCCCCTGATGGACGCTGGGGGTGCTTTTTTTGGCTATTGTGAATATGCTGCTACGACCATGGGTGTACAAGATCCTGCTTTCAGTTCTTTTGGGCGTCCACCCAGAAGCGGAATTGCTGGGTCAGATGGTACAGTCGTGTGCCGCGGAATGACGTTTTGGTCAATGACAAACCGCATATACAGTGGTGGTCCCATAAGATTATCATGGAGCTGGAAAATTCCATCGCCTAGTGACGAGGTAGCCATCGTAATGTCCAGCGAAGCGGTGTTTGTGGTGACGCTGGTGTAAGCCAACCTTCAGGTCCTTCGGGAGGTGTTCCAGAAGGCGTTGCTATCATAGACGATAGCTCCATGTGTGTCCCTGCCCCTCAGGTCCTGCCGTGGGAGGATGTGGAGATGGAAGATGGTGATATTGATGATCCTGACCCTGTGTAGGCCTAGGCTAATGTGTTCGTCTCTTAGGTTTTAACAAAAAAATTTTAAAAGTAAAAAAAAAACAAAAATTTTTTTAAATAGAAAAAGCTTATAGAATAAGGATATAAAGGAAATATTTTTGTACAGCTGTGCAATGTGTTTGTGTTTTCAACTGTTATTACAAAAGTCAAAAAGTTTGAAAAATTAAAAAGTTTATAAAGAAGTTAGCATAAGCTAAGTTTATTATTGAATAAAAATTTTAAAATAAATTGAGTGTAGCCTAAGTATACAGTCTTTATAAAGTCTGCAGTACTGATGTCCTGGGCCTTCACATTCACTCACTGCTGGCTCACTGACTCGCCCAGAGCTGCTTCCAGTCCTGCAGGCTCCGTTCATGGTGAGCGCCCTATACAGGTGTACCATTTTTTATCTTTTTTTGGGAGGGCTGGAGAAGAGTCACCCTGAGCTAACATCTCTTGCCAATCTTCCTTTTTTTTTTTTTCCTTCCCAAAGCCCCAATGCATAGTTGTATATTCTAGTTGTAAGTCCTTCTAGTTCTTCAATGTGAGCTGCTGCCACAGCATGGCCAATGACAGACGAGTGGTGTGGTTCCACGCCCAAGAACTGAACCCAGGCCGCCAAAGTGGTGAGAATGCCGAAATTTAACCACTAGGCCATCAGGGCTGGCTCCATTTTTCATCTTTTATACTGTATTTTACCGTACCTTTTCTATGCTTAGGTACAGATATACTACCCCTGTTACAGTTGCCCACAGTATTCAGTGCAGTAACATCCTGTCCAGGCTTGTAGTCTAGGAGCAATGGGCCATAGCATCCAGGTTTGTGTAAGTACACTCTGGCATTTTTTCATGACAAAATCACCTAACGACGCATTTCTCAGAATGTATCCCCATCATGAAGTGACCTATGACTATAATTCTATTTTAACGTATCAAGGAACCACCAGACTGTTTTCCATAGGGGCTGTACCACTTTACATTTCAACCAGCAGTACACCAGGGTTCCAATTCTCCACATTCTCACCAACACTTGTTATTTTCTGTTTTGATAATTGCCATCCTAATGGGTATGAGGAGGTCTCTCACTGTAGTTTTCATTTGCATTTCCCTAGTGATTAATGATGTCAGGCATCTTTTCATATCTTTATTGGCCATTCATATATCTTCTCTGGAGAAATGTCTATTCAAGCCTGTTGCCCATTTTTGAATGGAGATTTTCTTGTTGATTTTTAGAAGTTATTTATATATTTTGGGTATTAATGTTTTATCAGATATGTGATATGCAAATATTTTATCCATTCTATGGGTTACCGTTTTACTCTGTTGGTAGTGTCCTTTGATACACAATTTTTAACTTTGATGAAGTCTCATATATCTATTTTTGCTTTTGTTGCTTGTGCTTTTGGTATCATATCCAAGAAATCATTGCCAAATCTAATATCATGAAGCTTTCCCCCTATGTTTTCTCCAGGGAGTTTTATAGTTTTACCTCTTAGGTTTAGGTCTTTGATCCATTTTGAGTTAATTTTTGTATATGGTGTTAGGTTAGGCCCCCACTTCATTCTTTTGCCTGTGGATAGCCAGTTTTCCCAGCACTGTCTGTTGAAAAGACTGTCTCTTCTCCATTGAATTGTCTTGGCACCATCATCAAAAATCATCTGACCATAAATGCAAGGGTTTATTTCTGGTTTCTCTATTCTATTCCATTGGTCTGTATGTCTGACTTTATGCCAGTACCAGGAGATTTTATACCCATGGAAGCCAGAGACACCTGGCCCCAAGAGATTGAGTCCATACATACTCTTTGATTCTATTTATTTAATTCTTGAAATGACAAAATTATAGAAATGGAGAAAACAGATTAATGGGTGCCAGCTGAGAAGGAGGGGTTGGGTGCAGAAGAGAAGCAGATGTGCCTATAAAAGGGTAACATGAGAGATCTTGGTGGAAAGGTGATGTTCTGTATCTGGATGGTATCAGTGTCAATCTCCTGGTTGTGATGTACTACAGTATTCAAGATGCTACCATCGGGGGAGATGGAGTAAACAGAACGCAGGACTCTCCACATTACATCTTACAAGTGCAAGTGAATCTACAAGTATCTCAAAAAGTTTAATTAAAAATGAAAGCGTGAACTCAACAACAAAAAATCAAACAACTCTATCAAAAAATGGGCAGGGGATATGAACAGACATTTCTCCAAAGAAGATATATGGATGGCCAACAGGTACATGAAAAGATGCTCATCATCGCTGATCATCAGGGAAATGCAAATCAAAACTACACTAAGATATCACCTTACGCCTGTTAAAATGGCTATAATCACTAAGACTAAAAATAACAAATGTTAGCGAGGGTGTGGAGAAAAGGGAACCCTCATACGCTGCCGGAATGCAAACTGGTGCAGCCACTATGGAAAACAGTATGGAAATTTCTCAAAAATTAAAAATGGAAATACCACATGACCCAGCCATCTCACTACTGGGTAAGTATCCAAAGAACTTGACGTCAGGAATTCCAAGAGACTCATGCACCCCTATGTTCATTGCAGCATTATTCACAACAGCCAAGACGTGGAAGCAACCTAAGTGCCCACCAACTGATGACTGGATAAAGAAGATATGGTATATATGTATACAATGGAATACTACTCAGCCATAAAAAAGGATAAAATTGTCCCATTCACAGCAACATGGATGGACCTTGAGGGTATTACGTTAAGTGAAATAAGCCAGATAGAGAAAGACAAACTCTGTATGACTCCACTCATATGTGGAAGATAAACACGTGGACAAGGACAACAGGTTAGTGGTTACTGGGGGAGAGGGGTCTGAGGGATGGGCACAAAGAGTGAAGTGGTGCACCTACAATATGACCGATAAGCAATAATGTACAACTGAAATTTCACAAGGTTGTAAACTATCATAACCTCAAAAATAATAATAAAAAAAAGAGTGTGCCTTTGGAGGCTGCCCAGACTACTGCAGGGGGGCCCATCTTGGGCCTGTGAAAGCTCCTCAGGTGATGTTGAACCATAGCCAGGGCTGATACCAGTGCTCCTGGGGCCTCGACCTGGTTCCCTCCGCACAGGGCACACTGCAGCTATCCCAGTACTTGCCAAAGATCAGGGAGCCAGGGAGACTGAGCCACCTGTGTGAACCCCTTCTCAAGACCAAGTGGGAGACAGGGATGCCCAGGAGGTAGTGTGCCATCCATGAACAGCTAGGAAGGTATGAGGACCCCACGCAGAAGGTCCAGCAGACCCAGTTGATGGATAAAGACCCTGCCCAGAAGGGTACATGCTTGGGCACAAAACTTTGACTCCTTCCCTTGGCAAGGGGACATCCCAGCAGTCCAGTGCAGCAGGAGAGCTCTTAGCCTGAGTCCGGGTTGGATGTCCCTGCACCTGGGGTCTGTGAATGCCCTGCCCCACACCCCTCTCACCTCACCTCGGACTGTGCTTTGATCTGGCCTCCTCAGCAACTCAGCCCACAGCACACACCCTCCAGGTACGGCACTCCCCACACCACGGTGCAGGACAACACTCACCACATGCAACACTCAGCCCCGCCCACCACCACTCAGAGACTGTAATGGAAAAGATTCCAAATTTGATGAAAATCATAAACCCACAAATCCAAAGTCAATAAACAAGCAGGATAAAAACAAACAAAACCATAGCAAGGTACATCACAACCAAATGGCTGAAAGCCAGTGATAAAATCTTAAAAGCACCTAGAGGGAAAAAAGGCACATTATATACAGGAGAACAAAGACAGGAAGGACTACCAAGTTTTCATCAGAAATGGAGCAAGCCAGATGAAAATGGGATGACATCTTCAAGGTGATGAAAGAAAAAAAACCTGTCAATATAAAATTCTATATCCAGCAAAAGTATCCTTCAAAAAATGAAGGCAATATAAAGATAATTTCAGAAGACAAAAGCTGAGAGAACTTGTCCTTGGCAGACTTGCAATAAAATAAATGATAAAGGACATTGTTCAGGTTGCAGGATACAAGATATAAACTTGGACCAGTAATAGTAAATGTGTACGTAAATATCAAAGTCTCTTTCTGGGGCTGGCCCCGTGGCCGAGTGGTTAAGTTCATGCGCTCCGCTGCAGGCAGCCCAGTGTTTCATTGGTTCGAATCCTGGGCACGGACATGGCACTGCTCGTCGGGCCATGCTGGGGTGGCGTCCCACATGCCACAACTGGAAGGACCCACAACAAAAAATATACAACTATGTACTGGGGGGCTTTGGGGAGAAAAAAGGAAAATAATAAAATCTTTAAAGAAAAAAAAGTCTCCTCTTCTAATGTTTAAATTTCATTACAAGATAATTGTTGAAAGTAAAAGTAACAATTATTCTGTGGCAGTTAGAACATATTTAGCAGTAAAATGTATGACAACAGTAGGACAAAGGAGCTGCAGGGAAGTGAAAGAATATTGTTGAAAATTTCTTACACTGTATATGTGAAAATACACTGAGAGTTAAAGACTTACAATATAAAACTGAGAGCAACAAACAAACAGGTGCAGCAAATAAGAAAACGGGAAATAAGATGGAATGCTAAAAACTACTTGACCCCCAAAAAGGCCAGAAAATGGGAACAAAGCACACGTGGGACAGACAGAAAGCAAACAGCAGGATGGGTGATTTCAAGTCAGCCACATCACTATTAAATGTAAACAGACGAAGCTCACCTGTTAAAGGCTGTTTATCATACTTGATCAAAAAGCCAGCCCAATTATAAGCTGTCTACAAGAAATACACACGAAATATACGGACACAGATTAAAAGAAAAAGAAAAATTGTACCATGGAAACACTAATTATAAACCTATAATGGCTATGTTAATATCAGACAAGATAGATTTCAAGTTTTTAAAAAACACCAGAGTTAGATACTTTTAAATGACAAAAAGGTCATCAAGAAAACATAACAAATCTAAATGATTACGCACCCAAACACAGAGCTGCAAAATACATAAATAAAAGTTGACAAAACCGAAGAAGGAACAGACAAATCCACTAAATTTACTGCTAAATATGTTCTAACTGGCACACAATTGTAACTGGTGAATTCAGCACTTTTCTCTCAGTAATAGAAAAGTAGAAAGAAAATCAGTAAAGATAGAGAAAACTTGAACAAGCCTATCAAACTGGACCTAATTGACATTTATAAAACACTAACACCCAAACAACAGCAGAATGCATATGCTTTTCAAGAGCATGTGTCATTCACCAAGGCAAAACATAATCTGGGCCATAAAACCTCAAATTTAAAAGAATTGATAATATACAGAGTATGTTCTCTGACTATAATGGAATTAAATTAGAGATCAGTAATAAAAATGTATCTGAAAAATGCCCCAAGTGCTTGGCATTTAAACAACAAACTTCTACATAAGTCATGGTCAAAGAAATCGCAAAAGAAATCAGAAAATATTTCTTACTGAATGATAATGAAAACACAACATGTCAAAACTTATGGAATGCAGCTAAAGCAGTGTTTAGAGAAAAATTGTTGGCTTTAAATGTTTATATCAGAAAAGAAGAAAGGTCTAAAATTAATGACCTAAGCTTCCACTTTAATAAGCTAGAAAAGGGAAGGAGAAATTAGCTCAAAGTAGAAGGAAAGAAAGAAAATGATTCTATTTCAATGAAATGGAAAACAATAGAGAAAATCAAGGAAAACAAAAGCTGCTCCTTTGAATGACAGATGACAACGGTAATTCTCTAGCTACATTGATCACAAAGACAGAAGGAAGACACAATCACCAATACCAGGAAGAAAAGAGGGAACATTATTTAAAATATAATTAAAATAGGATGCAAAATAGAAAGAACAACTTTATGCCAATAACTCAAAATATTAGATGAAATAAGTAATTCCTTGAAAGACGCAAGTTACCAAAATTGGCACAAGAAAAAATAGAAAAATCTGAGTAGTGTCATATCTATTACAGAAATTGAATTTTCAATTTTCCCACAAAGAAATTCCCAGTGTTTCATTGGTGAAATATATCAAACATTTAAGGATTAAATAATAAATACTATATTACTAACATTAATAATTAATTATATTACTTCTATTATTATTACAAAACTTCAAAAATAGATGTGGGTAGAATAAATCACTACTCTTTGAAAACATTACCCTGATGATAAAACGGCGTCTCACCACTTCTAATAGAAAGTGTACAAGATGCCCTAGTCAGTGCAATAAAACAAGAAAAAGGATCAAAGTCTATATAAAGTGGAAAGGAAGAAGAAAAATTCTTTATTTGCAGATGACATGATTATCTACATAGAAAATGCTAATGAATCTAGAAAAAAACTACTGGAACTAATAAGTGAATTCATGTAGGTTGCAAGATACAAGGTCAATATACAAAAACAAAATGTATTTCTACACACTAGCAATAACAATTGAAAAATAGCTTTTAAAAAACCTAGACAGAATTCAAAAAGCATAAACTATAAAAATTTTTGGTAAATTAGACTTACTAAAGATTAAAAAGAATCTGATCTTCAAGACACCATTAAGAAAAGGAAAGGGCAAGCCAAAGAGTAAAAGAAAGTATTCATAATAAATATATATTTGAAAAAGACTGCCATCTAGAACATAGAAAAGACTCTTACAAGTCAATAAGACGACAAACCACCCAACTTAAAAATGGGCAAAAGGGGGGCCGGCCTGGTGGCGTAGTGGAGCCATGCTTTAGTAGCCTGCAGTTTGCAGGTTCAGATCCTGGGCATGGACCTAGCACCGCCTGTCAGGCCACGCTGTGGCGGCATCCCACATAATATAGAGAAAGATTGGCACAGATGTTGGTTCAGCAGCAATCTTCCTGAAGCAAAAAGAGGAGGACTGGCAACAGATGTTAGCTCAGGGCCAATCTTCCTCACTCACTCACACACACACACACACAAAATGTACAAAAGGTGTGAACAGGCACATCACAAAAGATGATACAGAAGGGCAACATGCACATGAAAAGATGCTCAATGTTGTCATTCAGCAGGCACACACAAATCAGAAGCAGAGACATCATGAGACGTCACCAGAATGGATTCAATTTCAGAAGAGTGACAATACCAAGGGTGGCAAGGATGTGGAGCAATACAAGCTTGACACACTGTTATAACCCAGCAATTAAATTCTTAGGTATTTACCCAAGAGAAATAAAGACACATATCCAAATAAACACGCTTACACAAATGCTCATAGCAGTTTTATTCACAAGAGCCAAAACTGGGAACCCAAATTTCCATCAACAGATGAATGAGTAACAAATGATGGCTTATCCACACAATGGAACACTACTCAGCAAAGAGATACTGAAACACATAACCACTTGGTTGAGTCTTTAAAACATACCAAAGAGAAAGCCAGACACACAAGAGAACATACTGCATGAATCCATTTATACGAAGACCCAGAACAAGCAAAACTCATCTACACGGACAGAAAACGGTTACTTGGGGCTGAGGTGGAACTAATGGGGAAAGGGCAAAAGGGAACATTTTTGAGCAATAGAAATGTTATTTTTATTGTGATGGTGGTTACACTCGTGTATGGATTTGTCGAAACTGTGTACACTTAAGATAGGTGTTTTTCTGTATGGAAATTGGACCTGAACAAAGCTGATTAAAATGGCCTGGTAATATCTGCTTCTGTACCATTTGAAACGTCTCTGGTAATGGTGAGTTTTCCAGAAGATGGAGTACTGTATGCTCTTTCTAAATTATTTACCCCCTCAAGGCTTCTACAGTTGCTGGAATTTGTTAAAAACTCAAAATATGCCCTCATGGGCAAAAAATTGTTCTGCTTGCAAACTGGTTCTTTTGGTTAACGTTCAAAGAAATTCAGAGGCAACAAGACTTTTGCTAGACAGAGATCCCCTGTGTAATAAACCTGCCCGCTTTTGAACAGCCCTGTCAGAGGAATCGGTCATGCCTCCCTGCTTCTGCATGGCTTCCCTCCCCCAGATCGTTCTTTCTTCTCTTCTCTAGCTGACACATCTACTTTTCTCTGAAGACCAGTTCAAACGTCAACTCTTCTGTGAAGCCTCCCCAGACCCTCCATGACAAATCAGTCACCTCCTCACCTATGCTCCTATACACCTGGGAACATACTTCTGTTTCAACACTTCGCTCAGTGCACCATGATCTTTCTGTTTTTCAGACTTTGAACAACTTCAGGATGGATGATGTCTTACTCATCTCTGTTTTCCCACTATTTAGCACTGGTCCTTATAGGCATCAATACATTTTCAAATAAATGACAAAATGAGCCAGAGAGCTGAAAAGTTGAGTTCAATCATGGACTGCTAAGACAAGAAAAGTTGTGTAGTGCACTGGGGGTGTGTGCCCCTTGAGTTAGAAAGATACAGAGACAACTAAGTGTAGACAGTGCTCCCCAAAAGCAAGTGGACAGTCATGGGTGAGCTCTAATGGCAATAAATATGAGGGGCATTAGTTTTATACTGGCTATTGCCTGCAACTTCTGAGTTAATTATAAGCAGAAGACAGAAACAGGGCTGAGACAAGATATTTCCAGTAAACCAGTAGATTGTACTGATTACACAAAACAAAAGTACAAACACTTAAAAAATAGCAATATAGAAAGGACAGAGCAAGAGAGGTGCCAATTACACACAGGTTTGAGGTGTGCTTTTTATTGCACTGCGCCAGACGCCAGGGACACATAAATCAACCAGATATGATCGTTGTCCTTAAGGAATTAACAGTCTAACAATGAGAGAGTACATAAAAACATAATTTATCAAAGTTTAAGGGCTGTAACAGGCGAGCACCAAGCAGCAGCAGCACAGAGAGGTAGCTGGCTGAGGCTGACGTGATGCCGGAGATGGGTCCTGACTAGCAACGAGCAGTTCACCAGGTGAGGACAGCATTCATGGAGGACAAGGCAGGCGAAGGCAGAGCTGGGAAGGGGGGACGTCCGGCAGTTAGTGCCGCCATAGGGCCAACCATGCAGCAGGGAGCTATGCCATGGCGGATGAGGCTCCAAGAAGCAAGAGGCCTTCGGATGCAGGAGATCCCAAGGACAACAGGGAACCAATTTGTGGTTTAAAATAAGAGAGTATCTTTCTCCAACTTGTCTTTTTGATAGATCCAAATTTGCTACACAATATTCTTTTAAGTAGTAAGACTAGATACAGGCATACTTTATTCTATTGCACTTTGCTTTATTGCCCCACATAGATATTGTGTTTTTTACAAGACCCTCCGCCAACTAAAAGATTACAGCTCGCTGAAGGCTCAGATGACGGTTAGCATTGTTTAGCAATAAAGTATTTTTTAATTAAGGTATGTACATTTCTTTTAGACATAATGCACACCTAACAGACTATAGTATAGTGTAAACATAACTTTTATATGCACTGGGAAACCCAAAACTTCGTGTGACTCGCTTTATTGCAATATTCACTTTATTGCAGTGGTCTGGAACTGAACCCACAATGTCTCCGAGGTACGCCTGTACATAGTTCTGCTTTAAAAGGGACTTAACTCAGGGGCGAATTGTAGTTGTGCAATAAAATACAGAAACCCTCTCTTGAGACCTAGCTCCCCCTGCTCCTTGTTCCAGGTCAAAGTCAGTTGTCCAGGTACGCGGCTCTCCTGAGGACATGTGTCCCTAGCCAAGGACAGCAGTCCAGCACTGCTGCAAAGTTGTAGGTGGTAGCCCACTCCTAAAGCAGCCCCATCTGTGACTGGGAAATGCTGACGTGTTGAAAGCCACATGAATTAGGACTCATGCCACTCACTTCCAAACATCACTCATTGAGTCAGAGAATAATTATAAGTTATTGGTATGTTCCCCCTGACCTACAGAATTCTCACCCAAATATATGGGGGTCTTACTCAAGGGAAGTCCCTCTTGGTGAATACCTTGATTATTTTTAAAGTTTGGAGTTGAGTTGAAATCTTTCCCATACTCACTACATTCATAGAGTTTCTCTTCAGTATGAATTTTCTGGTGTTGAAGGAAGTTTGACCTCTGAATAAAGCCTTTCCCACAATAACTACATACATAGGGCTTTTCTCCAGTATGAATAATCTGATGTAGAAGCAGCTTGGAGCTCTGAATGAAAGCTTTCCCACAGTCCTTACATTCAAAGGGCCTGTCCCCAGTGTGGATTTTCTGATGTTCTGTGAGATGGGCTTTCTGCAGAAAGGCTTTCCCACACTCCTTACATTCATACACCCTCTCACCAGTGTGGATTTTCTGGTGTCGAATAAGGTATGAACTCAAAAAGAAAGCTTTCCCACATTCATTACATTCATAGAGTTTCTCTCCAGTGTGAATTCTCTGGTGCTGAGTAAAGTTTGACGTCTGGCTGAAACGCTTCCCACACTCATTGCATACATAAGGCCTTTCTCCAGTATGGATCCTCTGATGCTGAATAAGCTTTGAACTCCGAATAAAGGCTTTCCCACATTCATTGCATTCAAAAGGCCTCTCTCCAGTGTGAATTCTCTGATGTTCGATGAGGTCTGAGCGATGACGGAAGGCCTTCCCACATTCCTTACATTCATACTGTTTCACTTCTGTGTGGATCTGGTAATGTCGAATAAGGCTTGAGCTCCTGATAAAGGATTTTCCACACTCATTACATTCGTATGGTCTTTCTCCCGTGTGAATTCTCTGATGTCGAATAAGTAATGAGCTCTGACTGAAGCCTTTCCCACATTCTTTGCATTCAAAAGGTCTCTCCCGGGTGTGAACTCGCTGGTGCCGAATCAGGTCTGAGCTGTGACAGAACGCTTTCCCGCACTGAGCACACTTGAACGGCTTTTCTCCTGCGTGTATGCTCTCATGCTCAGTAAGATCTGCATAGTGAACAAAATCTTTCCCACACACGTTACACACATAGAGTCTTTCTCCGGTGTGAACTCTCTGATGCTCAGCCAGGTGGGAGCTCTGGCTGAAGCCTCTCCCACACTGATCACATTTGTAAAGTTTATCCCCAGTATGAGAAAGCTGATGTCCAACTAGGTCTGAATTAAATGGGAAGCTTTTGCTGCAAGTCTCACACGGGTGGGCCTCCCCTTCTACGAGCTCCCTCTCAAGGATGAGGAGGTTTGAGCTCAGGACTGGGCTGCCTCCTGACTTAGTGCCCACCTGGGCTGCCTCTCCAGTTTGGATCTTCCAATGGGTAACTGTCACCTGCTTGAAACCTCTCTCCTGAGAGGGGGTTCTCTGCAGGCTCTGCCCTTCCAGGTTTCCCAACAGCCCCCCTAATCTGAGTTCAGGGCACCGCCCAGACTCAGGGGTGGGGGGCTCCATCACTGTGAGCGTTTCTGACACTGTCTCCTGTAGATTTCCATCCTCAGAAATTCAGGCTCCACGGTTACCTTCTTGTCACCAATTCCTACGTCAGAATCTGAAATAAAAGAGAATAACATCATCTTTCCCTTTCATTAACAGACAAGAATCTGCCGGAGCAGATGGGGGATAAAACACATGTGCAAGGAGTGGGAGAGAGGAAACTGTTTCCTCTGCCCACACTCTGGACCCAGCATGCTGCCACTACAGTGCTCGCCTCACCCCAGACCAGCCTCTCCCACTTGGGAAGGCTTCTTTGGGGCACCATGTCTAACATCCAACTCCAGGGGACAGATCAGCCGGGTGGCAGATGGATAGAAATATGGCTTGGACTCCAAAAATCAAGACATATTTCCAAAGAAACAGAAATTTATCAATCTTGCCACCTCTTCTTTGTCCCTCATTCCTTCATGTCCTCCCTGCTGTCCTTGCCCAGATGAGAGCCCATGGTCTGCGGGATTACATTCATTTCAGGTTGTACGTTATAATCATTCTCTTGCATATTAATCCTAACGCCCCTGTCCTTTTCTCCCTCTATCATACTTGCATGGGAAAACCCCAGCTCAGGTTGAATTCAACTTGCTTCCTGATCTGTGTCGGCATCCAAGCCGACTGAGCTCTCTACAGTTATAATCCCTGGCTAACAGGGCCCTGAGAGCTGCCAGCAGTTTATACACTTCCCTAGCTCTCCTTTAAGACCATCTCCTGCTTTTTCCTCTTCTCGAATGTCCAACAATACCCCTCCCTCTCAGTGATGACCTTGCTTATTACTTCAATAAGAAAATCGAGAACATTCACTTTCTCCCCCATTTACCAACTACCTGTGTCTGTACCCACACCATGCTCTCCCTCATTACATGGGTTAAACTGTCCTTGATCCAACTAAACACCTCCACTTGTGCACTAAAACCCACCCCTCTCGTCTACTCAGGGACACCAAGTCTGCCTTGCAGGAGTCTACAGCTGGAGTGTTCACAGCAGCACTACTCACAAGCACCAAAATATCCATCAACAGAGGAACAGATAAATTGAGGACTGCTCCTACCAGGGAATAATATATAGCAATGAAAAGGAACCGCCACACGCAAGCACAGGTGAATCTCACAGATGTAATGTTGAGCAAAAGAAGCCAAGCACAAAGGAGTTCATGTCGTAGGATTCCATTTACATGAAGTTCAAAGACAGACACAACCAATCCTTGGTGGGAGAACTGAGACAGTGATGATCTTTAGGGAGAAGACAAAGACTGGTGGGGGGACAGGGGCTTTGGAGTCCCAGTGACCTACTTGGTGGTCTGCGTTCCACAGGTGTGTTACCTTGGAAAAGCTTGTTCAGGCAGTGGTTACTGACCCTTACACAATTACTGCGGTGCTGTGACCAGCTCCCTTCTTCAGAGCGATGCCCTCCCTCCAGCTTTGGAATTCTCACACTGGGAACTGCCTTCACGCAGGAATCTGCCTCACCCGAGGTCACGCCCTCTCCCAGGGAAGGCCCACTCTGTTATTCATGGCTGCAAACAGTTTACCACAAACTTAGCAGCAGAAAACAGCCCCATCTGTCATCTCGCAGTGCTGTAGCCTGAAAGGATGGGGACCCCTGTTCAGGGCCACTCAAGGTGTCAACCAGCTCTGGGAAAACCTGTTTCCAAACTCACTCAGACTGCCGGCAGGATTCAGTTCCCTGCTGTAGCCAGAAGCTGCTCTCAGCCCCTAAGAGCCACCTACATCTCCCAGCAGGAACGGCTCTTAGAAGTTCTGACTTCTCTTCTGCAACCAGCTGCAGAAAACCCTGCTTTCCAAGGGCTCAAGTGAGAATCTCCCCACCTGGTCAGCTGACTTAGGACCTTAATCACATCCACAAAATCCCTCCACGGCAGCTGGGAGGAGGTGCGTACTTTAGGGGCAGGGGTCTTGGAGGACCATCTCAGAGCCCTGCCTACCAGACCCCAGCCAGCACCCAGCAGATCAGGGAAACCGAGTGCCCTTGCCTCCATCTGGGGCAACTCTGAAGTGTCATCCCAGCCCCCGAGCTCCAGTGGGGTCAGCCGCGGCCTCAGTTTCGACTCCACCACCCAATCCTACCTTCCTTACAGGTGTGTCACATAAGAGCTCTCCTCAGCTGAGTCCTCTTCCAGGGAGCTCCATCCAAGATGACCCCATATGATCGCTTCCCGCCCCAAATCTGCACCGGTGGGAAGCAGACTGACTGCTGTGCAGCCCTGTGAGGGACACCCTCCAAAACTCATTTCCACCGCGGCCGCCAAGGAACAGGATGTGCCTCCGAGGGCAGAGCCAGGGGCGAGGGGAGCCACCTAGGGAGCAGGAGAGCGGAGTGACCAGGCAACAGGTGCTCCGCCACCACCGCAGAGCACGCTTTCAGCACACCTCTTTTACGCGAGCTATAAATTGCAGAAAGTGCACGCATCTTGATGAACTGATCATGGACACCTGTGGAACCACCGCCCAGGTCAGCGCGGAACATTGCTGTTGCCTGAAAGGCCCCCACTCCAAGAGTAACCATCTCTATTACTATAGAGGAGTCCTCTTCCTGAATTTCATTTAATTGAAATCATACACTATGTTCTCTTTTGTGTCTGCTTTCTATTCAACATGTACCCATTTTTTATTGATAAAATTCACATACCATACAACTTACCAATTTAACCTACACAATTCAGTGTTTCTAGAATATTCCTAAGGTTGTAGAACGATCACCACTATCTAATTAACTCCAGAACATTTTCATCACCCCAAAAAGATGCTTCTGCTTACACTCACTGTTACGTCTCTGAAAGTCGCCTGTGAGTTATGTTCCAGCAGCTCCTTTCGCTGACGTGCAGCGTTCCACTGTATGAACACATCGCACTTCATCTGTCCACTCTTCCAGTGAGGAACAGCTGAGTGGTTTGTAGTTGGGGTTCTTATGGATAAACCCGCTATAAGCACTCCTGTCCTTGTCTTCCGGCAGACAGAGGTCCTTGTCTCCGCTGGGTCCCGGGTCCTAGCACTGTTTCACTTTAGTGGCCACCAGTTCAGGACACCTTTGCAAATTCCACTGGGAACCACCGTGGACCAGTGACCGCTGTGGGTCTGGGCTTCCTCCCCTGCCTGAGTGGGCGCATCTGCAGTCACCCTGCTCTCTCGCTGGGTGTTGCAGACAGTATACAGGAGGCTGGGACTTGTCGCAGTCTACAGTGTGACTGCACTGTGTGAAGCTGCACTGGCGCCTGGTAAAGAGAGCCACATGCCACCCAGAGGGCCTGGCTCTGGGCTAGAGGCAGTGAGTATGGCCTGGTGTGGGACAAAGAGTGGCGGGGGGGTGAACTGTGGCCAAGACTGAAGACTGCCCAGGGTCCCTGCTTCTTTGAGTGACAGAAACCCCACTGGAAATTGTAGTGGGCACACAACCACCCAGCAACTAACTACATTTCCTAGAGTCCCCTGAAGTTAGGTGTGACCCGGTGACAGATCCAGCCAATGAGACAGGAACAGAAGGGAGGTGTGCATGCTGCCTGTCTCCACATGCCCTCTCCCACCCCATGGCGACGTGCCCGTGAGGCAGAGCAGCCAGGCTCCCAGAGGGCCTCTGGGGCAGAGCCGCCCACCTGCCTGTGAGATGGAACACAAGAAACCAAGTTTCTTGTTGGAAACACTATTTCTGAGTCTGTTACAGCAACTTGAACCCGTGCTCAAATAACGCTAATAGACAACCTGACTATTCAGATGCCATGCTCCCTGTGATAAGAAAGAAATGCAATCTGCCAACCAGTAACTGACAGTAAGAATGAGAAGCTGAACACAAGTCCAGGTGAGGCATTTCTATCCACAGAAGACTTGCTTTCTAATTAGTCAGCAACAGAGCTCCCTGCAGCAGTGGCCCACTTGGTGGGGCTCTGTGACACAGCATCTACCACCACTGCCTGGTGGCAGTCACTGAGAGTGTTTTCCTAAGTGAAAGGCCCACTAACTTGGCTTAAAAAATCTTTCTCCTGCTTATAAAAATTACTTTTAACTAGTTATTTTTTCAAGGTATAGAGGTAAATTATGCTAGTTGAGAAAACTTAAAGAAAAATAAAATTACCCTTAACCCCACCACTCAGATTACCACGGTTAACAATTTTCCTTTGGTCTTTTTTCTGCACCAATATTCTATGAAATCAGGACCGAGTAATCTTATATCCTGTTTTACCTTACTTTTATATCTTTTGAATTCCTAGTGATTAAAAACATAAGGTACACACTGTAGACAGTGAAAATCCCCGGCACTTCAACAGATAACCACTGCTTGCTATTTAGTTCATACACATTCATCTAGTCCTTTGCTTAAACAAACACAGTTATACGTTTACTGTGGACACACACGATTTTCAAAACCAACAGTGGAATCACACTGTACCTATCCATCTGCCACCTTTCCCCATTTTCAATATACCCTGGCGTTCCCCAAGGTCATCCACACAGACGCGCCGGCGCTGTGCATGGTGTCTCCATCCCAGGTGCTGAGTCCTACAGCAGGCCAGGCGCTGGGGGGAGCGTTTGTCCCTACACCTCTGGAGTCATGAGGAGGGATGTTCCCTGAAGTATCCTGCCACCTGCCTGCCCTTTTCTCCTCCTCAGAGGTGGAATGAGTTAGCAGAATGAGAGGTGTGGGAGATTAACGATTGCAGCGCCCAATATCTTCCACAGGGGCGCATTCTGCCCTGCTCCTCCCAGCTGGAGTAGGGGGGACGGGGACCCACAGGCGGCCTGAGGAGAGGCTGCAGAAATCCAGTGCTGCTGGTGAGCCGGCAGAGAAGTCTAACTGGCATTCAGCCTGAGGAGCCCAATGTCGCTCCACCCTCGCCTTGGACCAGTAGCAGAGTGACATTTTGTGCTTCGTGTGCCTCACTGGTTGAGAACTCTGGAGGGGAGGAGAGGTACTATTCATTAGGGGCCCCCAAACCCCAACCGGGCACAGTGCTAACAACCAGCTGCCACTGTCTCATGCACTCCTCCAAACCTTACGAAGCCACTGTTACCTCTGTCTTACAGACGAGGAAACGGAAAGAGAAAGTCAATTACCCAAGGCCGCTGAACCACTAAGTGGCGGAGTTAAGGTTCAAATCCAGGCCTGTCTCCAGGCCCCTCTCCCCAGTGTCAAAGATCCTCCCAAGTGTGATCGGTCATGTTCACAGGATGCTTCGCTTAGGTCAGCTGGGATCAGTACAGAAAAGTAGGTTTATATTTTAAGCCTCTTTATTTTTAATTAAAAGGGGGGGTAGGATGTTGGGTTTTTGTTTGTTTTGGAAGTCAGTGAATCTTCTGATTTTTATGTTTAAAATGACTGCTATATGACCTGAAAACAAGCTTTCATCTGTCTATAATATAGCTTTAAAAACATGTGCAGGCCTTCTAATGATTTTCATGTTTTTTACCTTTAAAGCTTTTTTAAAATACATTTTATTATTTATTTATTTTTGTGTCTGTGTGTGAGGAAGACTGTTGCCAAGCTAACATCTGTGCCAATCTTCCTCTACTTTATGTGGGATGCTCCCCACAGCCTGGCTTGCCAAGCAGCGCTAGGTCTGTGCCCAGGATGTGAACCTGTGAACCCTGGCCCGCTGAAGCAGAGCGTGTGAACTTAACCACTATGCCACCAGGCCGGCCCCTAGAGGAAGTTTTTAAGATCAAATATACCTTGCTTTGAACAAACATTTATCTGAAAATCAGCAATCTTTCAGTTTCTGCTTAGCTCCTTTATATTCTGTAGATTCAAGCAAAATTAAATTAATACTCTTTATTTTAAAAAACCTGAACGAACAAAATGAACTAAAAATACACCAGACTTCTGGTTCCATAACATGCTGGGCTATCATGTCCCATCCTTCTGTTATAACACACAACTTGATGGATAAAAGGTAACATGCAACTATCTAAATAAACAGTTGATGTTGAGAGAGAAGGGACAATCCTTGGTGCTGGAAAGGAGGCGGGAGCTTAATCTGGGAGTGGGAACCTGTGAGCAGCCCAGAGTGGCTCTGAGGTGGCGAGGGGGCAGTGCCAGACGCAGGCACTAGAAGCTGTTTTCACATCTACACTGGTAAGGGGGTACCGTGGCCTTTATGCTCGAAGGTTAGCCTGACTCACTGTCTGCTGCTTACGGCCCAAAGAGAGGAAGCAGGAAGGTTTGCCAAGGTTCCCCCTTGGCAATAACAAGGAAGAGCAAACGGCGACCCTGAGTGAGACAGAGACTAGAGCTCGCTGAGCATCTGCATCTCTGTGCCTGCCCTGGAGCTGCCACTCTCCTCACCCGGTACTCCTACCACTGTAGCAATGAAGGGCCCTGCGCGCCCGGTGGTGCTTGCCTTGTCTTCTTACATCCTCCTCACAACCATCCTTGAGGTTCAAGGAGGTGACCTGCTGAACACCAAATCAGCTGCTAGCTGCCATCTCCACCCCCCCCACCCCCGCCATCCCATGGCCATTTGGTTTCTGCTCCCACAGGTCTGCCCAAGGACGCTGACGATCTTCTCCTTTCCTGACAAGTCCAGTGTCCTTCCCCAGTCATCTTCCATGACTCGAGGCAGCACTGGACATGCCTGACAGCTCCTTGAACTGCTTCAGTGGCACTGCCCTCTGCCTGGTCAGTTGCTTCCCTGACCACCCCTTCCATCTCTGGCTCACAAATGTTGTCTTGGCCTTCTCAGCTCTGCCCTCTCTCCCTATCATCCTCAAGACCTTTCCAGGAGAGTCAGGAGTCCACTACTATCATTCCAGGAGAGGCTGGGCCCATGTGTGCATGCTTGTGAAAAGACAGAGCAAGCCCTCCGTCAATTCTTCTCTGTATCGCCCATAAGAGGGTGCTGTGGTTACTGCTAGTATTAAGATACCGTTACAATGTTACATCTATACTAGGGACAAAAGTCCCACCTCTGTTAGACTGGCATCTCTCAGATCCTAGGTGGGCAAAAAAACCCACTTATTTCTATCATTCATTGATTCATCCATGAATTGACCTCATGGAACAGATGTGCTGTGGGAGGGTACCGCAGGGCGATTGTGAGCATGAGCTCTAAAGACAACTGCCTGAGTTCAGAGCCTGCCTCAGCTAACATTCCTGGGAAACCTCAGGCCCTGAGGATCCCGCCACCGTGATGGAGCCAGTGTGAGGGGTAAAATGCTGTCCCTGACATCGGTAGAGACGGCCACTAGGACTGATAAAGACTTCTAGGAAAAGGCAGCCTTGACGAAAGAGCTAGAACAGCACAGCCAAACCACCTCTCCCGACCTGGGAATTCTCCTTCAGGCCCAAGGGTTGGAGGAAATTCTGCTGCTCACATTTCCCCCTCCACCTCTACTCCCAGCAGGGCAGAAGGTGCCTGCTCTGCATTTCCTCCAACACAAAGCGGCGCAAGGCCCGGCCCCCTTCCCAGCATCACTTGGAGAGCTCCCTCGGGATCCGGGGGAAGGAGGCAAGCTCAGAGCAAAACAGCAGCACTACTCGCACCGGGACCCCGCCCAGGCCACCTCGGAGGGGCTGGCAGGCTTAGAACTGCGACAGACGCTTCCGCTGGAGGCTCCGAGGCCTGCTGCGTGAGCCCTGGGACGAGGGGAAGGAAACTAGGGAGCGAGACCGGGTATCCACATGACGTTCCTCGGGCAGAGGAGCTGCGGGCCACCGCACGACTGCAGCCCCGCGGGGGCAGCCGCGACAGCTGCGGGACAGGGGCTCCCCGAGGCCGGGGCTCCGGGACAGCTGTGCGGGGCGGGCCGCCTTCACAGCCAGCTCGGCGCCAAGACACTCGCCCACCCGACGACCTGGCCCACACTCGCCCGCGGCCCGGAACGCGCCACTCACCCGGCGCCCAGGGACGACAGGAACACGGCCGCCCGTCCCGCACACCAGCGGACAAAGCACGCACGGCGTCCCGCATGCCCCAGCCGGAAGTCGGCCTGAGGCTCCGCCCGAGGGACTTCCGGTGCCGCTCTAGGCGCGCCGGGGCCGGCCGGCCTCTCGGTGGTGAGGACTTCCGGCCAGGCGCGGATTCTCCTGCCGAGACGTGGGGCCACGGCGGACATCCCTGAGCGCGGCCTGTCTCCCAGGTGGAGATGGTGGCGACGTTGAATACCCGGCGGAGGCCCGTACCGACCGAGGCCACGCCGTCCCTTGGAGGTTTACCGAGAGGGCCGAGCCTTCCAGGGGCCGCGCCGAGCGGGGATGCTCGGAGACAGTGAGAGCCAGCGTTTATGGAGTGCTTCTCACAAGGTCTCCCAGTTAATGCTCGCTGCACCCCACGAGCAGGATCCTTGAACATCTTCCTTCTACGGACGAGGGACTGGAGCCGGAGAAGTCACGTCACTCGTGGGAGGTCACACAGTTGTGCGTGACCGGGCCGACCACCTCTAAGGCCACGCTCTTGCCCTGGCTGTGTGGTTGGTCCTTCGGGTGCAGAAGTAGCCTCTGGGGACAGTCACGGGAGATCCCGCCCATTCCCCCCACCAACCTCTGGGTAGAAGAGCAGGTGTCCAATTACCAAAACCAAATAGGTGATTGAGCTGCTGGGAGAATTCGGAAAGCCTCACCGTATCCACGTATCCACGGGGGCGGGGCGGGTTGGTGAGGGACTACTAAAACTACAGCTGGTGGCGCAGCGGGCACGCCTGGCCTGCGTGGGGCGGGGGGGGGGGGGGGGTGCTGCGTTCCTGGTCCCCACCTGCCGGGGCTGCAGAGGACCCTGTGGAGGACTCAGGAGCCGTAGAGGAGAAACGAGCAAAATGGAAGGAGCCTGGGAGTCTGCGTGAGCAGGGAGAAAAGCCCCCCACGGATCCACAGGAACCGCCGAAAACCGGCTGGCACGGCAGCTGGTGCTGCTGACGTGCTAATACGGCGTCTACGGACGATACATGGCATCATTCTGTGCGTGCATCTTAATCATTCACACAGCAGGCATGCCCATCATCTCACTGTGCAGTTGGCTAGTTTCGCTCATCATTGTTTTAAAATCACCCCCCTCTTAACACACAGATCTAGTCTGGTCCACCCACTCACGGGGTGCATAGTCCTGTATGTCTACATCCGCTGTGTATTTACCCCTCCTTATTAACGGACACCATTTATTTCCCGCTTTACTCTGTTGTAAATAATGCAGGATAGCACATCCTTTTCCAGTATCCCATGTCGTGAGCAAGGATTTCTCTGGGGGGTATACCTAGAAATGGGATTAAATGGGAATCGATGTGCAGATTTTAATTTTAGGTACTGCCACATTGTTTTTGAGAGTGGCTATCATAATTTATACTCCCTCTAGTCGTGTGACAGTACCTGTTCCCCTACTTCTTCACTAACGACATTATCTGACTTTGAAATTTGCAGATCTAAGGGGTGAAAAACAGTATCCTGGTTTTTGTTAGCAATTTTGCTGAGATATAATTTAGAAACAATTAGATGCAGTTTTGTTTTTGTTTTGTTTGGGTTTTTTTGTTTTTCTTTGTGAGGACGATTCGCCCTGGGCTGACATCTGTTGCCAGTCACCCTCATTTTGCATGAGAAAGGTTGTCGCCGAGCTAACATCTGTGCCAGTCTTCCTCCACTTTATGTGGGATGCCACCACAGCATGGCTTGAGGAGCAGTGCTAGGTCCACGCCTGGGATCTGAACCCACAAACCCTGAGCCACCAAAGCTAAGTGCGTGAACTTAACCACAATGCCACTGGGCCAGACCCTAGATGCAATTATTTTTAATAAATAAATATATTTGGGGGCCAGCCCCGTGGCCGAGTGGTTAAGTCCACGAGCTCTGCTTCGGGGGCCCAGGGTTCAGATCCTGGGCATGGACATGGCACTGCTCATTAGGCCATGTTGAGGCGGCATCCCACATGCCACAACTGGAAGGACCCACAACTAAAATATACAACTGTGTACTGGGGGGATTTGGGGAGAAAAAAGCAGGGGGGAAAAAAGAAGATTGGCAACGATTGTTAGCTCAGGTGCCAATCTTTTAAAAATAAATAAATAAATATATTTGATAAATAGAATTTTGCCAAATGACTCCTCCTATGTGACTTCCACAATCCAGACGGAGAACATCTCCATCCCCCCAAAGTGTTCTCCTGGACCCCTCCATCAGCCCCCACCCCTCCTGGGTGTTTCAGTGAGCAAATCTGATAGCCAGTCAGGCCAGGCCTCTGGGTTTATTAGACATTCAAACTTCTTCTGTAACTCCATCTCCTAAAATGACCTTGCCCATTTTCCACTGGGCTGGTTATCTTTTTCCTTGTGATTCAGTAGAGTTTGTTTTCTATTCTGGGTACAAATTATTTGCGTATTACATATGCTGCAAATCCCCTACCGTGCTCTCTCCACAGAGTCACATGCGTCCTTCACTAATCCTGGTGTGGACAGATCTGTCTGCCTTTTCCTTTGTCACGTGTATTCTCTGCTTCTGTCTCTGTCTTAGGATCCTAACAGTGTTGTCTTTTCTTTGAGAGGTTTTAAATTTTTACTTTTAATGCTTAGGCCTTCCAATCATCTAGAATTTATTTCTGAATATGATGAGATGTTGGAATCTAATTTAATTCTTTTCCATATGGAGAGCCAGTATTCCTGATAAGATGAATTAGCAATCTGCCCTTTCACACACTGCCTTGTCATCGAAATAGGGTCTTGAGAATAATCGTTTTGAAAAGAAATCAGTCTTGCAGCCATAGTAAGTGGGAAGTACATGTCTTGTAAACTATGAAGCAATGGTGATTTAAGCTTCAGGATATATAGAAAATTACACCTGATAGGTGTTGTCAGCACGTGAGGGCTGCAAAGAGACCCCCACTGATCCCCATTTAAGACCTAGAAATAGGATGGAGTTAAAGCTAAGGGGTCAGAGCAGAGCTGAGCCTCTCCCAGCCTTCAGCACAGGCCTGGGGCTGCATCTGAGAAGTGGAGCCATTTAGAGGGACCCTGGGACCCGGACAGAGGAGAGGGAGACAGAGCCCACCCTACTCCACAGGGGCAGTGGGGGCTGTCCTGGCTGAGGCCTCCAGAGTGTGCCACTGCCACCAGTATGAGCATCCAAAACTGCATATGCTTCATCTCAAGCCCACCGAAAAGCTTCCTGGGTTGCATGGCTTCCCTTACAGGCCTGTCTACTGGGAAGGACTCTGCTGAAGGTGCCCAAGTGAGTGTCACTGTAGAGGGCCACCCGCCATTACCCACCTGGCTGCTGGTGAGCCCTCGGGGAGAGACGCTGTCTGCTGCTTGAGTCCGGCTGCAGAGAGCCTGTTGCCATGGGAACTTGCAAATACCACCCAGGGAGGGGGCCAGCCATCCTGCCTCAGAGAACCACCCTCTGCTTTGCAGCCGGCTGTCCACCCCTCCTCGAGTTGCACAGTGGACCCCAAGTCCACCTCTGGGTTGTGATGACTATAACAGCCCAGCCCAAGCGAGGTTTTTGAAGTGAAACAATCTAACTGCAGTTGGGGAAGGGCAGTGTTCACAAGCACCTGCTCTGTCTGGTCAGGGGGTGAGATGTGGGAGCACGCAAGGATTCACAAAGGGCCATTACAGTCAGCAGTGCCAAAGAGGGGCACTTAAAGATGTAATAGTCTGACTGCGTTGTTAGACGTTTCAGTGCTGACAGATTTTCTCACCTCTCCCTCTTCTCTTGGCCCCACATCTGGGCAAGCTGATAAGAAAGCCAAGGAGCTCCCTTCAAGTCCCTGCCTGCAAGTGGGAACCCTCATCCCGGCCCCACCCTCTAACCACAATCAAAATTTCAGACCAATCTGCTTTCCTTGCTTTCTCAAGCCGTTTTTGGAGGCCTGCCTTGCTGCCCCAGAAAAGCTTCCTAATGAAGTAGTAAATCATTTCAAACCCTCTTGGTGTGTGTGTGCGGGGTCACAAATCCAAATCAGAACCAAATTTTGGGTGGGGGTCTATCCTGATCCTGCAGTGTGATCACAAAAGAAAGCCAGGAAAAGGGATCGTCCTTACTGTTACAAACTGCCGCTTCCTTATGCTGCATCAGTTGCACGCCAAGGATTTGAGAAGTACTTCATCGTCTTTCCTCTCACCTGAGCGGCATGTCTGCTGCTCAAGTCCCCCTTGTAACTGGAAGCAGTATGTTTCCGACACCAGCGGGGCACAGCCACAAACCTTCCTGACATCTGGACCAGTAGCCTCTCTCTTTTTCCCGTCCCCTCCCCTCCTCTTCCGTCCACTTTCCTTTTTCTAAGACAGAGCTCTGCCAGCGCCAAGCCCTGATTCTGAGGGACAGAGGCGCGCGCGTGGGCGTGTGTGTGTGACTCGCAGGCCCTCTGAGGTCAGGGTCCAGGGCAGGGACCCTCTTCAGGGGCCCAGGGCGGCACTGGCCAGGCGGTGGAGGGGATGCGGCCTGTCCTAGGAACAGGAGTGTCCGGGACAGGGTTCCTAAGCCTGCCTTCAATAGTATCTCCAGGAGAACTTGCTAAATTGACTCCCAAGTCCAGCCAGACCGGCGGAACCACAAGCCCCACGCCAAAGGCCCACAGTCTGCGCCTTCAGCAAGCATCCCAGGTGAGCCAGGGCAGGTAACTCAGGGAGGCGGGGCTGAGCGCAGGCGCGGGAGGCGTGGTCGAGGCCGGCGCGGGGTGGGGGCTCCTGCGGAGCAGCCCAAGCGGAGGAGGAAGGGGCGGGGCCTGCGGGGACAAAGAGGGGAGGAGCCCGGGGCCCCGCCCACCGCGCGCGGGCAGGGTCGTCCGGGCTCGGGGGCGCGCTCGGTCCGCGGGGACGCGGCTCCCCGACAGCAGCGGGTCCTCCTGTATCTCCCGCTGGACCCGGGAGCCCGGCGCTGCAGCTGCGCCCCAGGTAGGCCGGGCCAGGCAGTGGCTTCTCTAGCTCCCCTGCTGGACGGTGCGTTGAGCCGCGCACCCGGGGCTCACGTTCGCGCAGAGCGTCAGGCCCGTGGGAGCCCCATCGCTGGAAGGGCCCGGGCTGGGTCTGGAGCCCCCGGGCCGGCCGCCCCCACCCTGCCCGCTCGCCGCTCCGCAGCCCGCCGCCGCTGCCCTCGCCCGGGGGGACCGGGAGCCGGCATGGCGCGCAGCCTCCCGGCCGCCTGGCCCCAGGTGAGCGCGTCTGCCCCCGGGAACTGGGGCTCCTTGCCTCCCAGAGGGTCTTTCCTCGGAGCCCGCTGCACCCGGGCCCTTGAGTCCCAGGTCCTCTCCAGGACGAGGGGCTCAGGGGGCCTCCCTTGTCCCCACCTTCTCTTCCCCGGAGGGTTCCCTGAGGCTGGGGAGGGACATTAATCAAAGAAGACAGTGGGGAGCAGGTTGGGGGGATGGAGGGAGGTGAGAAATGATGTCAGCTGGACAGGATGGGTAGGGAGTGCTGGTGCCCCTTATCATTAGGTCCCCCAGTGCCCCACAACCCATATTCCCCAGTACCTGCTGACCTGCCATCTGTCCCCTCCCCCTTGTGTGCCGATACCCTGCCCACCCCTGACATGGTGACCCCGTGTGCAGCATGAGTGTTGTTTCAGGGCCTGCTGACCTTCTGGGACGTGGCTGTGCACTTCACTCAGGAAGAAGGGGCACGTCTGGATCCCGAGCAGAAGGCCCTGTACAGGGACGTGATGCTGGAAACTT